AAAAGTAAGTCTGTGGATTGGCAACTAAATGATTAGAGAAATGGAGGAGGCTGAAAACAGCATTTGTTTAGAAAGGAGTCAAGTAATAGGAGACGGAGGGGAAGTATTGAAAACAATGAATGCTATAAAGAATACAAGCTAAGTTTCTATTTATCCTGCTGATGCAGAAAAGAAGCAAAAAGTGGTATATTTAAAGTGAATGAAAATGAATTATTTTCATGAAAACCTCGTTAACCTTTGGGACTCATTCTCTTAAGCAATCACGGAGGCCGAAAGTTCAGCAGCATTAAGCTACTTCAAAGCAATCCTACAAGAGGACCGGAACAGTTATTCCAGATAGCTAGCTATTCAGTGTTGCTTATTCAGAGATCCTGCTTCTCCATTAGAAAAGCCCGTACAAATACTAACCTGCTGCTTCCTATTTGTAAATCAGACATTTTAATGTGTATAGATGTTTTTGGGCTCAGCTTTGTTGTCTCTAAACTTTAAATTGGTCGGCAGTGTAGAGACTACATTGTGCCAGGGCTCCTAATTCAACACATAGAAGTGTGCACTCAAGGAAGAAATAGTTAAGAATTTTACATAAACTTTGCTCTAGAATAATTTTCTTGCTAAAACTACCTATGCTGAATGTTATTTCTGTAACTGTGACTTCTCCCGTCTGGGATCCTGGACTCACAACTTCAGCAGCTGGTGCATTATATGGCATGGTGCTTTAAAATCTCCTTGCTGCCTAGTTGAGGCTTGTATGATTTTCAGTAGAATTTCTAACCACTCAGGCTGCACCATGGTGCGATCCATTTCACATGCCAGGAACCTTGATGGGGAGCGGTTGAGATTAATGATGACATAATACAGAAAGAAGAGATATTAATGCTCTTAGGCATGAATTAATGAAATACCATTGAGAATTTATCCTGCATGAATAAAAGGATTTGGAAGTTGTCATTCTAAAAACCACATGAAGGATTTTACTTTAAAAAAAAAACAACAAACACTGTTCAAATAGGGTCCTCATGAACTTTTACTCCTGATTTTTGCTGGGGCTGGATGATTGAGCTGGATCCATTAATTGAATTCCTGCTTATTTACGAGGTTTTAACATAAAGAGGCACAGACCTCTTGCTTCCAGAGCTGTGGTGGTGCTAATTTTTATCCCCAACTCAATGCAAAGCTGTATTCCAACCTGTGGTGTAACTGTGGAGTAGAGACCCAGCATGCCACGGCACTCATAGGTCTGGGGTCCTTACCTCATAGTGAGTGCAGCAATACAGCAAGACCCTTGCTTACTGAAATGGTAGCAGTGCTCTTCATAAACGTGGAGGGTGGCTGTCACCATGTATTTGGCAAAAATCTGAAGTATGCTTTACTGTGATCTCCCTGGCATAAGTGTCTTTGCAGGGGTACAGCTGAGGTGGAACTGCTGTCCCCCCTCACTTTTCATTCTCCATCGTCCCCTAGAATTAGTGAGTTAAAACCCCAGGGAAGATGTTCATATATATATAATTATCTACCTGTAGCTTCTCTTGATTTAAAAAAAAATTTTACTCAGGGATAAAATTTTACACTAGCATACATTATTGTATAATCAAGTCTAGAAGACAAGTTTTTTTAGTTTTGAGGCAAAGTGGGATAACAACAGTACACAGGGACTGCTTACTTTTTGTTGTTGTTCTGCTAATGTCTGTTCTGAGTAGTTCAGAAAAAAATTTCCTTAAAAATTAGGACATAAAATATGACACATATTTTATCCATAACTTATGTCAATTTGAAACACCTTTTATTGCCTACATAAGTGAATATATGTAAACTTTATTAATAATTTCATTTTCAATTTAAAAGAAGCAAAGGTGTATTGTAGAATTCACAGATAAAGGTTAATTTTAACTATAAAGGTATTACCAGTGTTGCATTTCTTCATGGTATGGTTCACTTATGTAGAATTGAGATGTATTTTATATTAAACAATGCATAGCACCATTATACAACAGTTCACTAAATGCACATCCCATTTAATCTTTTGTAGGAATTAATATAACTGGACTGAAGTTTCAAGGAAGAATTGAACTGAGCCAGTAGGGTTAACACTGATAGTACCAGGAGATTACTAGCCATAAGAAAGTTACAGCTCATCTGAAAGACGGTGCCTAAAATAGCAGCACATCCTTGCACCATCATAGGAACTGGTTAACTGACGACCCTGAAGAAACACTTGTTTCCATTAATTCTGCTGTCATTATTTTGCTATTCTCGAACTCTTCCTCTGAATTCTTCTGTCCTTCTGATCCCAAGACAAGATGGAGGAACGTGAGAGAGAACATAAAGAAATTACAATAAGCTTTTGGCTATATAATTATATTGTAATCTACTACACTGAGAAGTTATACCAACAGAAGTTTGGCAGGTATCGGCTGCTAGATGCTAGCTAAACACAGGACACTCACTAGCGTAACATTAAAAAAAACAGGCTCACTAAAAAGCAACATCTACATTACAAAGAAGCTAACAAAAGAATTCCCTTATGATACTTAGGTTCAGCTGGTTCATCTTAGGTTCATCAGCTACATTTTCTTGTTTTATGAATACTTGTTACATTTGCATTTGAATATATATTTAAGATCACAATGCTACAAACCTTTTTCCAGCATGTAGTTTTGCCACCTTTAGTTAGACACAAAGGAGTACTTGCTCGAACTAGGGTTGAAGTTTCTGCTGAAAGTTGGTGATATTATTAGGTCATGTGTACTGTAATTACTTGAGCACCACAATTTTTAAATCCCTAAGACATGATTACCTAGGTAGAAGGCAGGAAGTATGCTTTTAAGTTGCCAGTCAGACCAAGGGAATCATTTTTGCTCCAAAGAGTATGCTGTATACCCTGAACCAGAACAAATTCTTATTTCATAGAGATTTCAGATTTTTAAAGCATCTCTACTAAAAGGAAGTAAACAGTGTCTGATTAAATTTAAAATGTTCCAGTGACTCTACTGTAAACATAGTAACTTTTAAGTTCTAAGGAACATACTTGCAAGAATTACCAGTAGGGTCAATGGTGAAGATGACTTTTTCTTCAAGAACAATTGCTACGGTGTCACAGTCCTGATTACAGATATATTGAGGTTACCTGAACCCCACAGTTCCATCTCAACCTGGATTTTTTTTTTTTTTTTTTTTTGGGGGGAGTTTGAATTGTCTCAAGAGCAGGAAGTCTTGCCCAAAATGTTCCTCTGAAATCCAATTCAAAATGCATCAATTTTCCAAATGGACTTTGTATATTCCAATGCATTAGAAGATAACAGAATTGATACAGCTTTCAAATGAAATTTTGCTATTCTCATACATATAGTCACAGTGGTCACACATGAAACTGTGGCCTCTGTGATAATGGGGCATTCATTTTAGAGCTATTTGGAAGAACACAATTTTGGAAGTTGTGACAAATGAAGTCCTCGGTGTTATCTTTGAGAGGCCCTGGTTGAGAGGGACAGAAGAGGCTTGGGAATCGAGACAACAAAGACTTCAGACTTCCAATTTTGCCACTGATCTGTAGACAACATCTTGGGCATCAGCTGCCTTCTGCAGTTCTCTAGTCTGATAAAAATGGGGACAGTCATGCTTATTTATCTAACTCAAAACAGTTGCTGTTGTGGATTAATTATTTGTATAGCACTCAGAGTGCTATCCAAATGCTGCTTATTCATGTTTTCCCCACTGCAACAATATATCTTCATCACTAATAATTAACTGCTAATTACTGTTGCCGAGAATATAATAGTGGTGTTTACCACCTTATTTTTAATTTCAGTACAGATGCCTACTTAAAAGTTACGGAAATATATGAAATTACAGTACATTTTCCTAACGACCCTGCTGTGTCTGAGTTTGATCCTATTCAATTGTGACTAGAGTAATGAATAGTAAAGATGACCTTTTTTCCGGTAGAGCTATATAGAGTTTCTATTGTATTCTTGACACTTAAATCATGAAATGTAAAGAAGCTATTCTAAGCAGGATACAGCTGGGTCGAAGGACTGCTGATGCCAATTATGCTTTGTACATAATAATGCACATTTTACCTATTTGGAAAAAAATTCACATTTATTTACTGTCAAACAGGTGTTAAACTTTACACTGGATATTAGTGATGGGCTCATTATTAACAGGTTTACACAAAGGGATGAAAAAAGCAGAATTTTGTTGAAACAATTTACATTTCATTAGATTTTTATCATAAAATAAATTAATTACTAAATATAGGCAGAAGGAATATGGAAGAGTAATAGTTATGTTTTATTTATTTTTTTTTTAAAGGACAGGCACCTTTTATTCACGAGAAAGCTTGTGAGAAGTGTCCAGTGTCCCCTTTACCCCTTACCACCCAACCCTGATTAAAGAATGAACAGGGAATTGAGTTACAATCTTTGTTAGCTATACCAAATTTGTGCAAGGCTTGGCATAATTGGCTTCTAAAACAATTTTCTCCCCAAATTATGGTTTTTGGCAATAAAAATTCAAAACATAAGAATAAAAACTAACTTGTCAAAGCAGAACACTGTTTACAGTGAAAAATAAGTGAAAACGGGTAGAACTTGCATTTTAAACATACTACCGTACTATGAACAGTGTAAGAAAAACAGCTTATAACATATGTGCAACCAAGAGCTTTTCACAATATTTTCTTCAAACTCTTTAAAATTATTTTTTTTAATGACAATTATATTTCAGTTGGACACAAATGTATTTATTTTACCCTAGCAATAGAACAAAATATAATTTCTTTTGCCATTTTTTCATGAGAACGGTTCATTGTACAGTTGAGGAAATATATGAAATAAGGCCTGTGGCTTGATTGCTAGTGGTTAGACATGTATTCAATCTTTGCCCTAATGGAAAAGATTTGCAGTGAACTGCAAACTGATGCAGAATATCTCTCCTGCTTTTGCAAGTCTTGTCAGGAATAGTAAGGTACAGTAAATTTGTCCCACAGGATTTGAGAGCCTACGCCTTGTATATAATACAATGTAGGCCTAGAAAAAAAAATGGTGCAGCCATATTTACAAATTTTGTTCACAAACTGCTGCAGTAAAATGGCTGGAAAGTGTTTATTTCTCTTTTTTTCACAATTTTGTTAAATTCAGCAGCAGAAGATATTTTAAAATACCTTGTTGGTATTTCTTTTCTTTGTAACAAATAATTCATTTTAGTATACTCTGTGTATATACAAAGTTTTTGTTTTATAAAAATTCACAGAACTGCGAGGTCCAGTCATCCCCGTTACTGGAGAACCACAGGGTCAACAGAATTGTCTCTTCAAGCAGATATGAGGGAGCCTGCATGGGGCCAATTAAGTCTTTTTAATACTTGTACGTGGCCTTTAATATATCTTTGCTACACTATTAAAGGCTTGTCACTAGTTGCATTTGTCCTTCTCTAACATCCCCTTCTGGAATACATCCTTCCTTGTTAATGGGAATAATATAGCCGTCGCTATTACCCCTGCTGATTTGATAGTACATCTGAAGCTGATGGCCAGCTCCTAGGTTTGGCATGCTCTTGTAGTAAATGTCCTCATTTTCACTCCTCCTGGAGGGAGAGAGATCTTCTTCAACATCGGGGCTGCTCTCTGGATACGGAGAGTCTCTGAGATTGGGCATGCTCGTGTAAAGAGAGTCTCTGTTGGGGGACTGGAGGTGGTCGTCAGCCTCGGCTGTCAGCTGTGAGACGTAGCTGTCGGTTCCCTCGGTCTTCACTTTCTTCTGGGGCTGGTACAGAAGGGAGTGAGTCCGCTGAGGAATGAGTGGGGCCTCAAGCTCTTTGTGGTGGAGCTCCAGCCCGGGGGTGTCACTGTGCATCAAAGATGAGGCATCTGCCACGATGGCGTCATCTTCGCTACTGCTCCCGCCGATCACAGCTTTGGCTGGTAGCGTGCGCTCCAGGTTGTGGTTCTTGCTGCTGCCCCGCAGGTTGTTGTGCACTAATTCTGAAATGATCATCTTCTCAAAAGCAGTATCATTCAGGCTTAGTCCACAGTCTACAACTTGCACACTGTCGTTATAGTCTCCATTGCGCAATGAGTAGCTGTTGTTGAAATTACCATTTAGCGGTAGAGTATCCATGGCACTTGTATCCCTGGCATTGTTCAGTGAATGACCTGAAACGGAAAAGGACAGCTCTGGTTATTGCCTGATGTGCTTTTTATCACTTTGGTTTTTTTTTTTTAACAGAATTCTTTAATGTAGTTCAGGACAAAGTTGTACTTGGAAGTAAGACTTGAGAAAAGTTAGGTTATTGAACATTCCCAAATGTAAACAGTTGCACACCTTATAGGAAAGATAACATGTATTTCCTGTGGGGAATAGTGGCATTTTAATTTCATAATTTAGTGTCAATTCTGTGACTCTTCCACAAGGAACTGTTCACTCCATGCCCTTGCATATGTAATGCAAAGCAATTCATTTGGAAACATCTATGTTTTGAAGTACACCACCATGATTTAGAAAAAGAAAATTAACAGAATTTGTCCTAAACAACACTAAATTAAAAAGGAATTAGATCACAGACATAACTGAAGGTAAATGTACAACATAAACCCACATAACTGGCAAGCAACTACTTTAACAACATTTCTAACATTTTTTCCTTTTTTTTTTTTTTGAGATGAAGTAAAGAAAAGAATGAAAAAAATGGATAAATACGAAGAATTTATGTTAAACAAGGACAGCCATCTTTCACACTACAGGGACCAGGGTCCACAAGCACCATCCGACAACACGATAGACAGCAGGTGGAATGACTCACTTTGGACAACTCACATCATGTCTGTCTGCTCAGGCTATCTGGCCTAAGAGTAGCTGATATATAAAAGAAAGTAAAATGATTTATTGTAACATGATGAAGAATTACTGAGCTTCTCAGCAACTTAGTCAGAGCAAGGGTTCAGCAAATTAGATTACTAAGCAATAACAGCTTTTCTTTTCCCACTTAATGTAATTTTTTTGCACTAATATTCTGTCTGCCAACAACGGCCCCAGGCTTCTAAAGGTCAAAGTTTGCCTGCAGTCTGCATCAGTCACAGTGACAGCGCTGAATGAACCAGAATAGTTAATTAAGAGTTAGGCCCACAGTTACCATGGGCATGGAAGTCAAATGCAGAAATGTTAGGAATTTCTGTAAGTATGGGTCACAGAAATTAAACCAAAGAATAAATATTAGTTGTGGAATGGGAAGAGGAAATCAGCCATGGCTGATATCTCATAGCTGCTGGAGGAATGAGAGACTGGGTAAGTCTGCTGGAAACATGAAAAGAAGTTTAAGGGGGGAAAAATGAAGTCTTATGATGATTAAGGTCTTTATGTTTTTGGTTTTGACCCTTTTTTTTTTTTTTTGGTATCACGATAAAATATTTCCTATAGACACAAAGACATGTAAACTATGACAGCACAGTGCTTCCCAAGCAAAGGAAAAAGAAAAAGGAAAAAAAAACTTTGAAAGAAATTAAACAGTCTGAACCATGGAAAGTCAGATGGTTAGAGCATTCCTAGAAAATCACTTTATCTACAGGTATATCTGGAAGTAAAGAAAGAATGGAGTGACTTTACTGAAATGAGACTGACCACTGTGAGGCTGCTGCATTATATGCAAGGCTTGGAGGAGTTTCAAGAAAAAAGTTGTTTTGGAAAAGATTATACATTTTCCTGTTTTCGGGGTTTTTCTCATAATTAAAGCTGCAGCTTATCCTAGAAAATTCAGTCTTCCCTGGAAAATACTGTTTTTAATTAAAAAGTAATTGCATTTTCTCATGAAAAGATTTTTGTCTTCAACTTTAAAAAACAGAGTAATAATTTCCAAATAAATTCTGAGTACTTTGCAAATAATTTTGTATTTGCATTATTGTTAACGCCTCTCCATGTGCACTGATTTAAACAGTGATGAGGGTTGTCGGAAAGGTCTCTTTAAGCTTTGATTAAACAACTTCGTAGGTTTGCAATTTCATATATGTTCCAAGATTTTTCTTGCAATGGATTTAGCTGCGCAGAACATATGGCATTTATAAAAGTAGACAACACATGAACCACATGCTGGCATTCATTTCCCTCATGAAAGTGATTTAATTCTATAATTTTCTTTTCTTCTGCTAAACAGATACAAAAATATATCGGATAACCCAAAATGAGTTTTCTATGATATACTGCAGAGTTAAGCATGCTAGAATATATTCAAATTGGTTTGATGAGGCAAATTTTATTGCCCACGACCAGGTCATTCATTTGAAATCTTTCCATAGCCTGTAGCAAGATTACTGTGGGAATGTAAAAATATAAGCAAATTGTTAAGCATTTCTACTTGACACTGCTTTGTTTTAAAACAGCAAATTATTTCAGCATTGCATAACTTCTGTTACCAATAGGGTTTGCTACAGACCTCATGTTGTTTCCCAAAAAGCAGTATGCAAGTACTTTTTGAATGTGGAAACATTTAATTTGCAAATTGTGAACCACTTGCCCGCTGAGTCTACTTCATGACCGCTAGTTATGTTTTAATTGTGCCCATTAAAAATCATGCTGAAAAAATTTACATTTGATAGGCAAAGTTAAGTTTTACTCCCATACTTGTCTCTCTGTAGGTTGCTAGAGGAAAGCATAAGGAAAGTAAGAAAACAAGAGAATGAAAATAGAAACTACAGTTCAGTTAAAAAGAAAACTTGAAATAAAAACTGGAAACAAGTTTTTATGTACTCTTTATCAAAGATTTATCATTCCAGTTATACTAATGTGATCTTATGACTCATCAAACAGTGACTGCTAGATATTTATTTGATGAATTGCACTGTAGTTAAAAAAAGCAACTAGATAATGTACCAACAAAATGTTAGGTAAGTGATGACACCCTTTATTCCTACAGAACTAAACTGTTCTAACTGGTAATCTCAAGATTTTCCTACAGAAAAATGATCTACCATAAAGCTGCACTATACTATAGTGTAGATCTATTTGACGCTGGATACAGTTCTCTACACTGGGGTATCCAAAGGTGTCAAGATGCCTTGCGCTGCTTTAGTACCTAATCCGTTCCATAAGCAGGTTTTTCTCAGCAAGCTTTAGAGTCAACCTTATATTGCATAGACATGATACCTCTAAGTGATATATATCTTGAAGATGGGCTCTCAGACCATGTGGTGTCAGTCCTGTAATAGTATATTAAGATTTATGCCACCTGTGTTAAAAACATGGATAATTATTGGTAAATACTGTTATGGCAAAGGCATTACTATAATATAGTGCAGTTTTACAAGCTGACATTGGCAATACTGTATTTCTCGAACTGACAGAAATTCAGAATGTACGGCTAGGGCATTGCAACTTGAGTTTCTATCTAGGGAGAAGAAGGGATTTGGAGTGAGCCAAGGAAAGCGGTTTTATTCAGGAAGTATAAGCACACCTGGTGAGTTAAACACAGGAGCTGAAGGGGCATTACATACAACTGTTTCAGCGAGCAATGTGTTATAGGGGTTGTTAGTGCCGTGTGGTCGAAGAAGAGGGTTTGTTAGTAGGTAATTGCCAGTCATTCCTAAAGCGAAAGAAACAGAAAAAAATGTCAGTTCTTTAATTTTAGGCTGACAGTTTCAATAAAGAATATTTTTTATTCATCATGAATCATGTAGGACTTGTCAAATGTAATTCAGCTGAAAATTTCTAAATGTATTTGAGCTATGTGTTTGAAATGGGAGTAGGAAAATACAGTTAGATTCCAGTAATTCACAGGTGCTGTCCAAATCCCCAAAGTAAACATCTGGTTAGAGTGACATTTACTAATGTATACAAAAATCACTGTTACACAAGAATATCAATTAAATGTGTAGAGATCAAGGTACTACATAAAGCTATTGTAACTTTAAAAATGATAGTATGGAACACTTCTATCCAGAACTGAGAGAACTGAATTTCCCAAATTGAAAGTTATTGAAAAATCTCTTATGACAGGATCAGAGCTGTTATTCACTTTATTAAAAACACACAGATAGTGGAAGGGAATTGCTGTTTTCAAACAGACAGTGGATGACAAACTGCAAGAAGCATATCTTAGTATATGCAAAAGTATGCATGCTGAGGGGAAAGCAAATATTTGCTCTAAGAAATCAGAGCATTCACATTTTCTCCCGGGACGTTCATGCTGCAATTTTATCTGCCAGGTTTTAAAAAATAATTCCTCAAATGACAAATTTTCTTTAAACAATCAGTTTACAAACAATGCAAGACAAAACAAAATATTACATGAACATATTTTTTTAAAACCCATTTTGCATGTTGATGCAACACCATTTAAACAACTCTCAGAATAATTAGGGAAAAATCAGCATATTTTGAGAAATTATTAAAAAGTCAATCTCTGATTTCTAGCTAAAACTTAAAAGTAAGTTTTAAATCACAAAACGCTGTGATTTAAAACTTACTTTAAACATTTCATTAAAGTAAAATTCCACTTTCTTCTCTATTGCATTGCACAGCAGTATATCAGGATGAGTGTATTACAGTCCCGAGGCCAACTAAACAGCCAACTATATTTTTATACTACGGATATTTTTATTTGGCAAGGAAAAGATAGTATATATTCCAAATATTAATGCTATTGTAGTACCAGAGATACTTGGTAGCAGAAATGAGCAGCAAATTTTAAGATACAGAGAATTACTGCCTGATTATGCTAATCTTATTTGAAAGTTTGTATCAGTGAACAACTAAAAAGGTTTTATCATAAGTTTTTTCAGTTGTAATGTATTTATCACTAGAAATGCTAACTGAAATATATTTTGCTTGGGTTTTTTTTGCGTACTATGTTTAACCTTGGTTAGAATTATTACTTGGAATTTATAATTAAGAGAATTTTTTTCAATCCAAATTTTTTTTCCATCTTTAAAAGCTTGATTTTTATTTTAAAGGAAAAATGACACTTGCCATTAATGACTAATGACTACCCTTATATGTATGTATCACTGAGATAGTGACAATAATGTAATTGAATAAAGATGATATCAATGTTTCTAACTGTGGCAGAACATCTCCAGTGACTTGAGACTGGAGCTCTGAAACAGGGAGAAGCTTCCAAGACGTCTGTTCAACTCTGAATTAACTGAGGGTGCAGCATGGTTAGAGCGAATCTCGGGAGTCAGAGACATCAAATTAGTGTGAAATCCCAGACTTTTATCTACAGCATATTTGTGGGATTTTAGTAAGACACTGGAAGGGAACGTACTTCTTTCTTGGGCATGAAAAATACACAGTTTCTACTTAGGAGAAATTACTTAATCTTGATTTTGCCAGAGGAACATACAAGATTCAGATGGGCGGAGCAGCGAGACACGCAGATCTTATCCACTTTCTATATGCCAAATAGCAAAAATAGAATCATGCTTTCTGAAAGCTTTTGTTTTGCAAAATACCACACTTTTTACTTCCAAAATAAATGTGAGTTAAGTACATGTCCCTACTACCAAATCTTGAAAAAAAAAACAAAGGAGGAAAAATTGCTAGTTGTGGTTGATGAGGGATTTACAGCAGCCCTGACAGTGGTGAATTTTCTGTTTGAAACTTCCCAAGTTGAGCAGGAACTGGTCGCAGTGGGATCAGGGCTACATGTTCTTCTCCTAGGGACGTGGGTGGGAGAACAGGCTTTGAACTTGGCTCGCACAGAGCAGTCTTCCCTCCACTGCTAGCTCAAACTGCCTTAAAAAACACAGGGGGAAGGGGAGAAAGGAAGGGACATTCTGTCTCGGTTAATAACCTTGTCTTCTAACTGGACATGAGAATGAGGTTGCAGATTTCAAAGTCTATTTGAGATGAGAAATTTGGAGTTTTAGCTTCTCTGTGCCTGAAAATCTGGATTCTATCCCATGTGACAGATATGATGCTCTTTGAAATAGAAAAGATAAATGCTTTACAGACATCTTTTGCATAGAAATGATATCAATTAGATTTCACTGGGAAAATTTCTGCACCTAAAAATCATAGTCAAATATGCATTAAAATGTTACTGCACTCATATTTCTGTTTCAGATTTAACCTATAAAGGTTAGGAAAGATTTAAAATTATGATCTTGCTTTTAAGTTAAATTATTGATGAAACTTATTTAAATACATTCCCATGAATGAAGGAATTCAACTTCTATAGCAGGGGGCCAGTTGAGGGAACATGGTTTTAAAATGTGCTGGTGGGTGACTTCTTTAAAACTCTGCTTTTAGTGAACATCTGTTCCAGAATTTTTTTCCAAAACATTCTTTTCAATTCTTCTGTGTTAAATGATATAAAATCTGTATAAAATTTAAGGCTTCTAAAACTGAAATGTTCCCAGTGACTGACCTTGATTAAGTGTTGAAGTGCTGTTGATGTCACCTGAGATAAAAGACGATTCAGATTGTTTTCTCACAGTGTCATTCCACATCCTCCTTATACGACTCTGTTAACATAAAGCAGTAAGACAGAAGCGTAGTAAGTTACAAAAAGATTTTTTCCTACTTGTGTGCTATTATGTAGAATATTTGTGTTTATTTTGGCCTAGAGTAAGCCATCTTGTAGCACGGGGCAAAACTCCTTCTTTTGTTACTAAAACTCTCATTTATTAAATTTAATTTAGATGAAACATGGTGGAATAAACCTTCCTATAAACCAGCCCCTGATTACAAGAAAAATAAGGTGTTTGCATTAGACCAAAGTAAAAAGAAATGTTTAAAAAGAATCAATTCTACTATGCAGAAGTATGTATTTGACATCTAAATGATAATACTGAGAAGACAATTAGTGCTTCTGATTGGAACACATCTCAGTAGGCTTTTTATAAATAAGGTTAATTAAAAGATGCTGTCAAAATCTTTGTTACCTGAGTGCCAGAGGAATAGCGAGCACTAGTTCTTGTTGTTGATGCCTTCACTGAACTGTGGGGACTCTCAGTTGGTAGCCCACCACAGCAGTAGGAATGTCGGAAGCATTTGCCATATTCCTTACGTACCTACGGGGCAAAAAAACAATTACTTAGCATAAGAATAGTGTCAGATATCTCTGCTGGCAAAAAGACATGAACCTTGCATAAACTACTCACATACTTTTCAAGCAAATAGATAATTCTTGTCTATTGAATTGTTGGCCATTAGCAAAATCAAATATTTTTTCCCTATTTAGCAGCAGCATTATCAGCTATCCAGTATTTCTGAACAAATGGTTTCCAAGGTATACATGCACTTCATTTAGATGTGCCTGAATAATCATTACTGAGTTATTTCTGGGATTATTTTTAATTCATCTTCACATTGTAGATTAATAAATTTACCTGAATTGAATGCTGGCTGAACATAGTCATTTTTACATGAGCTTTTGATGCAGAAACCATAGATAGCCTATCTTCCTATCTTATAACCTTTAACTCTGTAGTCTGAAAAATGTAAGTCTATATATGTATCATTACTAGATGGTAGAACACCTAAGAAAATACATTCCTGAACACTAATGGATATTAAATGCTCCAAACCACTACACAGTAGAGACAATAGCAATCAAAACTGTATTTTTACCCAAATACCACCCTCCAGGGCTGGTTTTGCCTAATGCCTATATTGCAGTGAATGTACATTATCTGTCAGTACTGCGCATTCCACTGTCATTATTTCTAAATTGTAGCTTGTTGGAAACTGATGGAAGCAACAGCACTATCATCCTGTCAGAACTGGAAACATAATAGTTTTCACTTTCACAATTCTATTTCTCTGTTCAATTTAGTGACCAACTAGTAATAACAGCATAAAAAGACTACATTAGCTATGCAGACAGAGGATAGGATGATATCCAGTCAAAGGCACCGAAACTTAAAAATCTTAAATAGCAGCTTTAAGATTCTTTCAGGTATAAATCTTATTGCTCCAGGTTACGATTTTTCACACTTGACTGGTATTTTAATATTGCTTTTTGCTGACTCAATATAAAAACAATGCACAGCTGTAAAAAGAAATAAAAAAGGAATCTGTTTTTTATTTTCAAGTCCAATACAAGTGGTAGAAAGGGCAACATCACATGAAACCCTAATCTAGTAATTATTTGCATTTTGAGAATGTTTGCATTTTCTTCCCTCTTTTCTTAGGCTCAATCTCCTCTCTAAGTGTGCTTTTGTTCTCTCAAAATGAGAGAAGTGCCATTTTCGTATGGATAAAATTCTTTCCTTCTACCAGATCTTTTACTAGAACATTGCTGAATGCCATTGTCTACACCAAATTTAGAGACGCTGATACTTGTTAGAGCTGGTACCATTGAAAACATGCAAGAATGTGATTTTTTGTACTTACACAGCAATGCTTTATCCAACAGTCTCAAACCATTTTATAAATATCAGTTAATTATGTCTCTGGTGAGCTAATTATAATGGCAGTTAATAATTGCTAGGTCTCCAGCCTATAAGCGCTAAAAATATTTAGAATTTAAATATTGCAAATTGGGTATTTCCAACGGCAAATGTATTGTGTTTTATGTTAAGTTCTTTGGGTGGGATTTTTTGACGTTGTATCCTTCCTCTCAACTCTCGTTACTTCCATTTGCTATGTCTTCTAACAGAGGTTATGAGCTTTTTTTGTCCTTCACTAAGGCACCTTGAAGAAGTCTCCACCCTCAGCCTGGGGAAGACGAGGAGTGCAGGGAACCCAAAAACAGTCCCACCTGGCTGCACCCTTCGCTTCCTTCTCTCCCATTTGCTCCTTGCTCCCATGCAAGCTCTCCCTCTTCCCAGCAGATGTGCTCCTTCTGGACATCTCTGCTCCCATCAGGTGAAGGGGAGCAGAACCAATTTAGCGCATCCCACCCATGAGGGAAGGCTCTTGTCAGGGGATTCCAGATTTTCCAGTTAGGAGCATGAAGCTGTTGGATTGCTGGGGGAGGCAAACACTTGAAAAAAAGTAGTCATGCTGGCATCTTTGGAAAACTCTCCCCGTTAGCAGTTGTCTAGCATTAATGATTACTTTTTTCTTAGGGGTGTTGAAGTTCATAATAAAATTAATTTTTAGAACTCTATTTTGTAAAGAACAAGCACTCATAGTCCAAACCCTGCCTATCACCCGTAGCTTTATGTGGCAGCTTAATGGGATCTCAGGAGAGGTCCTCTGCCTTGATCTGAGAAAGAGCTTCCAGGCTAAGTACCAGGGCTGGTATTGAAAATGATCCTTTGTTTGCAGTGCTGCAGCAGAGGCAGGATTTGTTTCATGTGTGCATAAAGGACTTTTGGCTCTAAGTTCAGACTAATACGTACCACATTACCAATATTAAACAGTACATTTTCCACAGTAATTTTTTTCCCAAAGCCTCAAAAACTTTTCAGGCTCAGGTTGGAAATTCTGCATCCCTTTTAACCCTGCCCAGGCCACAGAGCAGTTACCTGACTCCCACAAGCAGACACGGCAAGAACTGCTTTTGAATCCTAGTCCCCTCTTTCAGCTACTTCAGAATACTCCAGTTCTTGACATTGCTGGGTTTTTTCCTCTCTTTTTTAAGAAATATATGTGGTAATTTGAAGGAGTTAGAGAATACACATCTGTGTTTTCAGTAACTTACTTTCTTTTGCAGGGCACAATGAAAGATGAAAATAAACATTCCTTGGAAAGCATTAAATACTGTGAAGAGATATGTCATCACAACAGTCCCTTCATTGATAAACAGCAGACCAAATGACCATGTTAGGCCAAGGAGGCACAGGAGAGCAAACGCACCCAGGACCCAGGATCTGTAAAAGAAAAGTAATTTTATTTACATTACTTACGAGAATGCATGTCACCGAATCCAATATTAACATTTCAGTTCCTGCAGTTGACTTTTACTAGGTTCATATTCAAATGTAAAAATTCCTTGGGTTTAACCTTTTATCTATTAAAGAAAGAACAATTCCATTTGGTACTCTTAGTCTCCAGTGAAAACAGCAAGAGTAGATATGACCTTTTTCTTTCTCAAGAACTGCATAGGATGTCAAAACTATTTTGAAATGCAGAAGTATAGTGCAAGCCCCAGCTACTCCATTGCTTTATCTGCTTTTACGAAAGAGATTGATAAATCTGGCTTAGCCACTAATCACACCATAGATTTTAAACAGTGGTGCTGCCATATGACACCAAATAATGTAACACAAATGCACAAAGGTTAAACAGCAGATTAAAAGCCTTGAGCCCAAATCTTTAATGCTCCGATAAACTCAGCTAAACCGAAGCTAGATGATCTAACGTCCGCATGAAGAAACCCTGCTGAAATGTGACAAAAATATGGATATTGCTCTACAGAATAGTCTAAAAAAGATTCCATCATGAATAGGTTAAGGAAAAGGAATTGTAGAGAACGGCACAGAATGAAAGGGAAAGGGAATTTAGTCAGTGAATTCCACATCTAACTAATGATCTTACTTGATAAATGGCTTATTATCTTCATAGCTAGAAAGCATTATAAGCAGAAAAGAGAAACAAAATTATTAGACAGAATTGAAACAGAAATTAATAAGAGCATTTTAATTGTCTATAAAAATTAGTCAAAATTAGGAAATTCAAAATGCAGAGGCAAGCAATTTAAAATTATAAAGGCATATAATAGTTAAAAATTCTTTAGCAAATCAGGTTATCTCAAAACTAGTTAATTAAAATTAAGGGAAATCCACAATATTGACCGAGTTTGTAAAGTTAAAAATCATGCTAGAAATTTGTTAATGTAGGGTTCTATCTTACCCAGGTAAGTCCGTATTATAGTAGCCATCACAAACACGGTAATTACTGGTGTGGATGAGAAGACAGAAAGAGGAAAAGGAAGAAAAGAGAGAGATGCTAAAGATTAGCTCTCTCTCCCTCATCATGCAACATGCAATGAAGCTGATACTGACCTATCTAGAACATCTAGTTCACAATGTTAGCCTTACTGAAAATCTCCCTTCGCCATTTTGAACATTCAAAGCAAATCTGCAAGACCCTTTCACATCCAACCCTCAGCGTTAGAAAGTTGCACCATCCCTTCAGTGTTGATAATAAAACCCTTCAGTACCACATAAAGCTATACAGAATACAGTAAAAGACTATCTAAAGAAGCAAGAGCTGCCAAGGCCTTGTAATTATATAACACTTATATTACTCTGCAAAAGGAATACTCAGTACAGCACCATGATAAAGTAAACATTTGTTAAATTAGCAAGAAAACAGCAGATAATCTTCAAGTTAACAATAATAATAGAGTCAATTCTCTTGGGAGAACAGGATTACGAGTAGAAACTGCTCAGAATCCCTAAATCAAAAAGTCATTTAACAAAACAAACTTAATATAATCATATCAGCCATGCAAACAGGAACATCATTTTTGAACTGCATTTTAAATGCAAATGAAATTACTACAGTGCTGTGGCATTTCCGTGAAACAGTTTCTTGGCTCTAGTTCCAGGCTGAAATTATCTAATTTTGACCGGTGTTTGTGACATTACAGCAACAATGTGACGAAAGCAGGATTGGCTCTGTTTGCTTCTAACTGACATCTGCAGTTGCTGGGAGACAATGGCATGTGCTCCTAATGGAGAGTAGCTTTCAATCAGTTCAGCAATCAGAAAATAATCATAGTTCTCATACTTGAACACAAAGCACTTACTTAATGTTTTCCAACCTGCTAGAGTCTGGTTTCAAAGTGTTTGAGTGCTTCACCATTTTGCACAATGTGATCACCAGGAAGATAAGATTCAGCTGTCAAAACAGATAAGAACGAAATTAAACTACTTCAAGTAATAGGCTGAATAATGATGATGTTACAGACTAAACAAAAACCCTAGTCTATTTTCAAATATGTAGTGAAACTGGCTAACTATATCAGTCAGTCTGTAAAAAGCGATTGCAAATACGGATGAGGGGGAAAAAAATACCTAGAAGTCTTTGTTTCGCTTAATTTTCCAAATTTACCTCATCATCATGAACCACCATATTTAACTCATGTCCAAAACTTGTAATTTTCAGTCTAGCTCTGTCTTCCAGCATGTTGTGCTTTGGCCCCTGTTCCCCATCTCACTGACTCCCGCCCAGGACTATGGTTACCCCTTTACTGTACTATACTTGTTGTCTTTTTATCACCCCATCCTGCTTCTGGAATGTTTTTCGCTTTTGCTGGATTCTCCCTTTCTTGTTTTTAATTCCCTTTTATTCTCACAAGTCCTGCGAGGGTCTTGAAAACAGCTTAAATGTAACTGAAGCAAAGGAAAAAGAAGAAGAAAAAGAAACACAAAGATGTAGCAAATGCATCAAACTTAAGAGTGCCACAGCCATGTGCTGGTGGTGCACCCTCCTACTGCCCTCTTTCCATAGTCTGAAATCTGTCAAAGCAAGACTGCATGCCACTTGAAGGGAAGGACTATGCTGTCCTGCTCTTGTTGTGTCATTCATATAGATAACACCGGGGAAGATACAGTAGGTAATTTTTCATAGTTTTCCTATTGTGAAACAGAATCACAGATATCAAAGACACTAGGTGCCTTTCTCCTATCGATTCAAAGCATGTGAAGAGCATAGGTAAGCCAAATACAAGGATGCCTGTAGAATATGGGTTGAAAAGTGGTATACAGTTAATTTGAGTGTTTAGTACATGCTGTCCTATATCATGCAGACAATTCAACTAAAATCGCCATGTTTGAAAACATTAAGACCTATGTCCTGTGAGGGAGAACACATACATCCTTATCTGCTAGTACAATGGTCCACAAGAAATGACTGAACCAATAGCTAAGATAGGAGAACATGCCTGGACAACCTTATAACATATATATTAAATAGATTATAACCCCACTCTTGCAATCTTCTGTATTTATCTGTAACTGGTTACTGATGGAGAATGATCAAGCCCAGTGTCTCTTTTTGGGGAGCCTTTGGTTTGAGACAGCATCAAAATCCTCACAATTTTTGTAACACTGGAGACACCAGTTCATATCAGATGTGTTCCTACAGCTGTGCCACAGTGGTCAGAAATGTCACTCAAATCTAATAAAGAGCAGGTCTTAACCGTCTAGAAAAGAGGAGTATTTTGAAGGCTCTGATCAGAGTCTGTTAATAAAGACATGTATTATAGAAGTAATTCCTGCTGCTAGGGGCAAACAAGTTAGCGCTGCTGCTGCTGTGCCAGAATCAGGATGGAGAGTAGGAACTATAATGCGGTTCTCAACACCAGAACAGCGTTTGGCAGCTTTTGACCTCATCAGTCCCGATTCAAAGTAAAACATTTTTACGATTGTATCTTGAGATTAATACAAAAAGCATATGTGATACAAATAACAAAAATAAGCTTTTATAATTCACTTCTGTCTGTTTCAAGAACTGACAGAAAATACTTGACCTTTAAGTGGAGGCATGTACGTGGTGTAGGTTAAGCATGATTTCCATTGCTGCAAAATGTAGTAGAAGTGTCAGAATCTCATGACCCTGCTGATTACTTTTTATGATTCTTATAGGTAATGACTAACCAGTTGAGAGACACTTTGTTATATCATTGCAATCATTTTGTTCCTCTTATCTAAGTTTCCCCTGTGCTGCTAAGTTCCTTGCTTGAGAAAACAAATCGCTTCTCTCCCTAGCCTTTGCACCACACAGAGGACGGAGGCTCTGTGTGTGACTTGACCCTCAGTTCCATGCCTTTACAGGCAGACTTTCTTCTTCTGTGTATGAAAAAGCTTCTTGCACATTTTGGTAGCTGACATAACATGAACTTCTCCATGCCTTTAAAGCCTGCTTTAAAAAATGTAACTTCGATTTACTTTCTGTGAAAGCAAACAGATTAAGAGCTAAGAGACAAGCCTCATGCCAATCCCAACATGTAAATCAACTTTGGCTGCAACCTGTGCAGCTGGGAGTGCACAATCCAGTTCAGAATAGTATTTACAGCATAGCTGGAAGCTAATCCTTGCCTAAGTAGCTACCCTGGAGTATCCTGTATTGTACTAGCAACATCGTTCTTGGATCAAAAACTCATAGACATGGCTTAGCCCATAAATGAATGCCTTATGAAATGAGAGGTTTTTATCCTCTGGTTCTCTGTTCGACTGAAGTGCTGGTTTGACATATGAAAAACAAAAGCTCGTATTTACATATTGAGGTTCCTTCGGTGACATGCAAGCAGACACGGCCCTGCTCCAGAGCCTAGCCAAGCTCCAGCCTACTAAGCAGGTTTTATGTAGACACTCATCTTTGTCTGTATATACGTTCTGGCTGGACTAGGGAAGAACTGTACATAGAAGTTTCTTAATAGACACTTTAATTTTAATTTAGGTACAGAACCCCAAAAGCAGCCCACAGAAATAATAATGCTGTATCATAGTAGCTGAAAAAGTTCTTCCAAGAAAAAAAAAATTGTAGTTTCAATTAATTTAATAATTTAATTTTAATTAATTTAATTAATAAACATTAATAAATTCTTAATTTACAAAGAAAACAAAGTAACTACGACAACAGAGTATATGATACCTGTTTCTCCATCACTATGAAATACTGCACAGTTTTCAGTTGTAGCAGTCAAAAGACCATGGTTTGCCACTTGTTCAAACATGTCGTCGGCATCTCTGTTACACATTGTTTCATTATCAAAAGCCTATCTTGCCCGCTTACAAATACCGTGACCAAACCTTTCTATAGATTTGCTTTTGGCTCCCTTACTGCTCTTCATCTAGAAATTGATTGTTTTGGAGGAACTCATGAGTTAAAGACTTTTTGGCACCCTGCCGTTTTATTACACAAGACACTAAGCAGGGAGGGAAGGAAACTTGGGAGAATCGTCGATTTTAGAAGGAATGGCTGAATTACTTTTCTTGGTGAGAAATTCGTGGGGGGAGAAGGAAACACACTTAGTGCTTTTACATTCATTTGTACCAGCTCTGTATAAGGAAAGTTTTTCAGCCCTAAGCAACCTGGTCTGAGCTCAGAGCTGAGCCTGTTTTGAGCAGGAGGTTGGACCGCAGATCTCCTGCAGTCCCATCCAACCTGAATTGTTTCATGACTGTGTGAGGACTGAACTGTTACTGATCTAAGCAAATGAATCTGTAGATGTTTTCCAAGCTTGACAGATGATCTGAGCAGGACACCCTTCTCTGAGAAGAATGTTCACCACAAACACGCAGTACTCTGGGGTCACCGAAAGGCTCACGTGAATGACAAGACAGGCCTTTGAAAGCAACCTGACAAGGGAAAAAACGGGCCTCTGACAATGACGGCTTTCTTAGCACTTCATATAACATAAAGGGCAGTGACTGGCTGGGTGTCATCCTGACAACTGGGCTGCATCCACCCCACATGAACAAAAATCTGCACCTGAAGAGTACTGCTCTCCTTCAATGATAATAAAAAATATAAATACATCGTCTAAACACACACACAGAGCCACAGAGTACACATCCCAAACAGTCGTGAAGTTATACCCTTGACACCAAGTGACAAAACACACAGTTACAGCAGGTGGAGCTATAATGTGAGATCTCTTAAAACATTAGCTGATAAGAACATACAAAAAACTTGGATCGATAGTATTTCATGAATGTTTATACTAGGTTTTCGATGTAATTTCTAAAATATATTTTATATTTTTATATTTATATTTTATATTAACCTCCACTATAAGAGGCAGGATACTGGATTACATAGAAGAGTAGCTTAATCTATACTCTGATTTTAGAAATGTATGTAAAAGTAAAAAAAAATAATTAGAGCACCTTTTAAAATACCATTTCCTACTTATCTCTTAATAAGATAAGTGTAATTGGATAGAATGGAGTGAAAGACAGACAAGTAGATATATATAAAAAAAAATAAAAAGTAACTACTTTAAAATACAAAATCTGAAGAATTTTAATGGTAATAATCAAACGCAGCACCCTGGAAGATCAAGCTTCTTTCATAGCCATCACACAGAAGGCCATTTCTGGTTTGGAAATCAGAAGGTACTGGACATGAAAAAAATGGTGTAAGTAGGACTTTTCTCTTTCTGGTACCTGAAGCCTATACAATTTTGAAAGAGGGAGTGTTTGCAAGTCAAATTAACTTTTTAAAAAAGTGTATGTAATAACCTGCACAGAAGACTAACGGGTTGGAATTGGTTGCACGTACAATGAATTAGTAGCCAAATAAAAGCTAGATTTTGCAGTAATTGAGATAAATTTCTCCCTGGGTGCAATAGATAAATACCATTTATCAGGTGTCTACTATAGAAAGATATACGTGTATTATTTATATACATAAGCTTACAAATAGAGTCCATTTTCATATGCTGAGCTAGATTATGTGTGCATCTGTATGTATACATCCACTGACTTCGGTGAAGTAATAACTCAACCTTGAGTGAGAAAATAAACTCTCTTCCCTATGTTAATGAAACAGGACATCCTAGGAATTTTTGCTGTAACAACCTTCGGTAGCCTAATAAATTGTCTCCCTCTGACAGAAGCAAACTCCAGTGGTTTTGCCTGAATTGAAGTCAACGAACATCACTCATTCCTTGGATATGAATGAATGTGGATCTACATAGAAGTCGAAATACTCAGGCTTTTCTGACCACAGATTACAGGAGCGCCCTGTTTGTTTTATAGCCATCAACCTGCTCAATTGAATCACGTCCGCCTGAGCTTAGCAGCTTAAAATTCATTCCACACAGCCTGCAGTGCTGACATGGATATGATAAGACAGAAGAACAGAAACACCACTCTGAAGTAACCTAGCTGAACTGCACATGTTCTGACCCTTTTTGAACTCCCCAGAGCTTTTGTTACCTGGCAAATGCAGCTCTAAAGCTGCTCTTGTATCTCCAGATCTTTGCTCTTAGCCATGCAGAAGCCTATTTCTCTCTGGGACTGGCAGCGAGAGAGGTGCTCTCTGAAGAAGTCTTCTAAATGAGTGTGCACGCTGAACTCTTACTGAACTGAATTAATTATTAAAGATGCAGATGGAGCTGTCCAAATGATAAGAACAGCTCCTGACGTATCATGATCCAAGCTTTCATTAAATCATTTCAGGCATACTAATGGTTTCCACCGCTCATTACTTACATGCTCTTTTCTCATAGATATAATAACCCTGGTGCTCAAAGGCATGAGAGGCTATGGAAATAGTGAAGTTGAAAGTTCCTCAGAATACGTACTAAGGAACTTCATACTTCTCCCCTACACTTCCCATCCTCATTTTGTGCAAACCTGTATACAGATAAAAGTGCAAATGCTCATAAACTCAGAGAAAAATTTGTCAATTAAAGTAGTAAGCAACATTGTCAAAGAAGAGTTTATGTGCACTGACAGTGCTGTTAAACTGAGAATCATAGAAGTGATTTGATTAACATGTTAAAAAGCTTACTGAGGTGAAATTCTCACATGCAACTGACTAAGCTGCATTACAAACATGGCTCTTCTTTGGTTACACCGCACATGACGTATTATTTTTCAGCCACTACACTTTTCACACTTCTTCCTCCAGTCTCTGTTGCTTTCTCAGTTGGGACGATTAGAGGGCAAAGCAATTGCTAGAGAAGAATTACTCCCAGGAACTGTGCTGTGATTGCTACCTGCTGTTTCATATTTTTGAAGTCGGGAATACTACTCCCAAAGGCCTTTTGCGTCTCAGCCTAAATGATTTGCTGGAGGATAATAATGTCATGGCCAGTAAATAATAGTGAACTATGTCTGTACATGGTCAATATGATTAAATGTCCTTCACCTCTATTCTCACTCTGACCTGGTTATGAGGAAGTGAAAGAGCCGTCAGCAATGCCCAAAGCTTCCCTTGCGAAATGTTATTTTAAAGCAAAGGAGAGAAATAGAGGTGACTTAGCAAAATACTCCCAGTAACAATAAAATAAAAAGCTAGACACAAAAAGCAAAATTATCACTGCACAATCAGACTTGAGGTAACTGAACTATTGCGGCATGAAACTTAGAACATTTCTAGTAATGATTACAACAACTGCAAAAACAACTTTGTGTTGAAAAATATTGTCTATCATATTGAAAATACTAAATGTATCTTTCAATTGTAATTGTAGGTTTAATTAAAAAAAAACCCCTATCATCCTGAGATTTGGTTTAATTTAAATGTATTTAGAATAAACTCTGTACAATTATTATGGTTTATAGTTAAATCTTACAAACACTGTGATTTTTATAATTCAACTTAAACACACAGGAGTTTTGGCATCTACGTCTGTTTCTTTGAAAATACGCCAATGAACTCAAACAACTTCCCCACTGCACAACTACCTTTTCCTAAGTGACTGCTCAACGACGGAAATATTTTTGATATAAACAGAGAGTAAACCCAACTTAAATATACATAAGCTTATTTCAATACTGAAGATACCAGTAAGGAATAATGTGCCTACAAAAGACTGGTCAGGTGCATTTTTTTATAGGAAGTTCCATGTTCAAAGCATCAGTTCATTTTAAATGGAGAAGTAATGTAAACTATAAGCTACAAAAAGTGTTGAAATAGTACATCTGGCATATAGATCTATAAAAGTCAGAAATTTCAGAATTATGTCTGATGCATGTGCTTCAGGATATAAAAATAATACTGACAAAATACAATTCCTAAATTTGGAAATTCAAGGGAACTGATCTTCTGTTAGCAATTCACAACTATACTACTACTGTATAAAGGCAGGAGAACAGGTAACTATTTAGACTTTCAAAAACATGAAAACAAATTAATTTATCCTTCCAAACTATAAGCAGTTATGAGAAAAGCTCTCTATGTACACAGGCTATGTCCCCAGCACCAGCCTTCTAGAATATTTCCCAAGCACAGTCGGGCTTTAAAGATACTGAGCCAGCAGAGAAAAACAAGGTGAGCCAAAATGCACATCTTGCATTCACTTTCCTTCCAAATTCCTATGTTGTGCAGTGTCGGTATTATTAGTCTGAAATAACAGGGAGATGGTTTTGCCCTGGGTTGGCAGATGACTATGTGCTTTTTACCTGCAAGCGCTCAGAGAATGGATAATTGATGTACGAACACAACATTCAATCTTAAATGGACAACGGGACACACAGCTGTGGATGTACAGACGGGTTTGCACGCATACGACGACTTTACTCAACTGATTGCAAGAACATGTATATGCTTTCTACTGGTTACATAATATTCTATTATTTATACTAAAACAGATGAACTTGTATGTCTGACACACATTACATGTAGCATAAATACACACAGAAGTAGTGATAGAAAAATATGCATATGCAAATACACATACAAATACTGTGTAATGAAATAAAAGATTTATTTAATTATCCGATGTGTTAGAACACCCTTTTGAGATAATTATGTTGGATAAATAGCAGTTAAATTCTGGAAGGTGTATAGTAGTAACTCAATCGAAAGCAATAATACTGGTTCCTTTAAAAAACCCTGTGTTTAGTACTTCATTGATTTTTCATAGGACTACACACATCAATATGACCTTCAGAGTTCAGGCCATTAGGAAAAAATGGCTATGCTGAAGTGCTACCACAGCTTTGACAATTAATCATTTGGTCAGTACTCTTTAAAGATTTCTAAACATTTATATAACCATTGGTCACATTACAAATTGTTTATAAGCATTTTCATGAAATGCCTTGCGAATAAGGATTGTACTAACTGATGTTATCCAATCTTTTTAACTTTGCTGTGAAGCAACCTAAAAGGAAAGGAAAACACAGTTCTTACCAGAATAATAAAGGTAACGGGTCCAATGAAACTCCAGATAAAATAGTTATCTACATGGAGCCAGCAACTATCACAGAAAAAAGAGAATGAAAATTGAACAATTGCATTAGCACCTCAGTCCAATAAATAGAAAGTGCAAAAATACTTCTTAAGCTAACGTTTTGTCAGTAAACAATGATAAACATTGCACAGTGCCACTTAGTCAATGGACAACTTTTCCTAACCTGAAACTCTTCTGGTAAGTCCTGTTTAATAACACTATCGAACTTGAAAACACATCATCAGGAATAACTAACGTATAAGAAGGAACAAAACCAGTCAAAAGGTTTGGTCACAGGTGCTATCGTGGACTACTGAATCTAACATCAGTATTTTTCACAGGTTTTCCATGTAGTCTTCAAAATCCACTTTTAACTATATCATTTGCAAAGCACTTACTCCTGAGGAATACAAGACAGAAAACGTTCAGATGCCATGTTTTGCTGAAAAACAATATGGTATAAATAAAATGCCCCAACTGGGAGTTGAACACTAGAGAAGGAATACATATGATACCAGACTAAATGATGTGTAAACCTATTAGGGCCGACTTCACTTAGTGATTCGTTTTTTCATACAGCCCAGTTCCCTGTTGAATTGCTCTTATTTGTCTTTCATCAGCAGCAAAATCAAGCGGCTTTCTTGCAGTCAACAGTATCTTCCCATTCTGTAACTAATTTCATCAAAGGACAAAGTAAACACTATTGGAAAGCAAATTCATTCCTCCAGCAACTCAAATCCTCAGAAATGTTTTCTGTCTACCTTTTGTCACTTTCTATATATATCTGTATTTTTGTAAATAAAAGGCAGTAGCTAATTTTAATCCTGCTCTACCCGCCTGATAAAATATTATCAAAGTGAAACATATGGGTTGGAATATTGTACTGTCATAATTGAGGACGCGAGTTAGCTAGAGGGTCAGTTGGAACAAAGAGATCTAATGAAGCATTAGCTTAAAACTGGGTGGTTAGGCTTGTCAGATACTTTAAGTTGAGAATTTTTACTTAATATACATTTGAGGCCAAAAAAGTTATTTACTTTTTCAATTTGTTTCAGGTCAATCTTTTGTGTTAAAAGAAAGACCATAATTTAGAATCGGTCTCTCTAGAGTACAAATCCTCTGAACCTAGAGAATTACAGAAGACTTGATTGTAATTTGTGCACAGCATTGCCATTCTCGTACCAATAAAGCTTTCAGATGGTATTTTACTCTGTCAGGGACCCTCTGACAGCTAACAGGCTTTAAAAAATTATTCACTTGAAAAACACTCAGGTCACTTGCAATTACTTACGCTTTCTCTGTTCCGTAGCTCTTATAGTCAATAGCTGCTGAGACACCAACTACTGTAGCAGGGAAGAGGTAGCCAGCAACATAATAGTACTTCTTCCTAGAATATTCACTTTCAAATACTTCTACTAACATTAGATAAAGCTGTACTCCTTCTAGACACATCCAGGCAAAGGCTGCCAGGAAGAAAAAGTGTAAGAGACCTGCAAATATTGGACATGCAATCTGCAAAGAAAAAGAAAGATGGAAATATAAACCACAAAATCTTCACATCATTACATCTCTAAATAAATAGTGTGTAACAGAAAGCATATACTTCTATCAGAGATCCTTCACAATGCAGGAGCTTTTTCCCAACCTGAAAACATACACTGAACATTTTCAAATACTAATGAGTTCACGGTAGCTGCAGAAAGTAAATTCAGCTAAACAGTACAAATGAAGATAAGGAAATCATGCCCTCACCCCCAATCTTCAATTATAGAGTGGACTTTTCAATTTTATAAGCAATCCTTTAATTTGAGACTGATATGGTTTTAGGGTTTACAGATTAGATAATCTGAGACATGAACAGTTGGTTCTGGATGCATAATGTAATATTGATTATTTAAAATTATGAAGCAGCCATCAAGCCATTTTTATCTGATGCAATTTGGAAGTTTCCACTGTCATAACAGACATGAATACGAATTCTCTCCCCTTTGGCTGAATTCTGGATAAAACTCTACCAAATTATTAGATTTCAACCTTATGAATCGCTTCTGAATGACAGAATTAATTTCTGACAAAAAACCTGCATGAATGCGCAGTGTAAAAAATTAGTAAATATATAAATAAGGCTCTGTACTAATATATGCATGAAAAAGTAGTCAATAGCTGTTGAGACATGAATACATAGAGAGAACATATGTATGTTCCTACTACGTCAACATTTAATTTCATCTCCTCTTTCAAAAGTTTAAGCCACCTGCTTCGTTAATAGCTCGTGTCTCAACTGAAAATGAAAAACATTGCTGTAAGTGGGAAATTAAGGCCGCAGTGATATTTCTGATGGATGTAAATACTATTTATGAACATGTCTCCCTTATTTTCACATTGGGCTTTTATTTCAGCCTTCCTATGTTAGAATGCTGAAAGCTTGGCAGTGTTGTCGTGTTTTAATTCAAATCCATTTCAAACAGTCATTTTGGAGAACAATATGACTACACACAAAGAAAACTTACCTTGTACTCTGTCTTATCGATGCCTATTAGGAAAATGAACTCGGCAATGAATAGGTTGATACAAAGGTTCTTGTGAATAGTGTTACGATCACTTTGCAGGCCACGGAAAAAACAGAATGTGAAGATGCAGATGGCCAGGCAAACAAGAGAGATGACAATTCCCACCCAGGTGATGACAGTGAGGAGCAATTCGTGAACTCCATCTTTGTACTAGAAATAACCAAGAATGGAGAAAATTAATATGACTCTTTATGAGTATAAATAAAAACCTATTTTCACAGGTAGCATCCAGCAAAGTTACTTGTTCCTTAGATGAGATGGGCAAAATGTACTCGGTAATTTCTCAGTCTCAGGTCAGCTTCCCAGAAGAGCAAGATTAGGGTAAGTACGAGATGAGAGGTCTGAGAGAAAAATACGACTATTTTAGCCAAATCAGATAACATTTTTACTTTTCTTATGATTCGCTGTAAACTCGTCAGACAAGAATAAGTAGAGAAACGTAACATTTTGAAAGTGCCACTAGGTTCTGACACAAAGAGGGGAGCTTTCCCTGGGACCTCCTATAAGAGTACATGTTCTTTCCTACAGACCTGCAACTCCACAGCGCAGAAGTAAGCAACAATTTACACACCAAATGCAGAATATGTTACATGTGTAATTCCATCTCTCATCTCACATTTAGCAAAAGAAGGTTCCTTGCTTCAGTTGCGACAGAATCGCTTTTGTCATTTTGGTTATCTTTTCAGCAACCTTTCCAAGTACAATGGGTTTATGAAAAGTCTCATATCCTTGCAAATGTTGCATCCGGCCCCCCTGACATCCAGTAAGTCCTTCAAGCAGACAACAAAATTTCAAAGTATGAACAGACATTTAAACAACTAGTACAGAAGCTCCTTGACCTTCTTCCTGCACTAAGGAGAGCTGGCACTGGTGTTTCACGGGAACAGCCTGCACAGCTGCCCCTACAGACACTCTCCAGCTGTACTGAGGGGAAGTCTGTACAATGGTTGTAAGCTTGGTCAGTAACTTTACAACATGACTTGAAGAAAACTCCTGTCCTTCCTTGGTTTTCTTTCCTGTTATTTTGCTTGTAACCTTATGGGTGAGGAAGAAAACTGCTAGAGAAAACAAATTGTTTGGAAAGAGGGGGTAGAAGCTATAAATACTTAAGAAACTTCAGCTATCTTGGATCTTGCTAAAAATATAAAGCTAAATCTTTAAAAGTTTGTTTCCTGCCGATGGCTAGAAACATCATTACCTACCACAATTTCCCGATGAGCCATAAGAATTGCAAAGTTGGTTAGGTGACTGCAAGCACACGTTGTATGAGTTTTATTTGTGTCAACCAGTTTGCAGCCTTGAGTTGACCAGTATCCCATCATCGTCCTCTCTGAGTAGTTCCAGAAGGAACAATTTGCATTGAAATAATTGTCAGGCTGGGAGATAAAACGATAACATAAAATGAGGATTTTACACACTAAGATGGCAATAACAATTGTTTAATATGTGTAAAGGGTAATTTAGATTAAACTTTGCATGTTTCGGACAATAAAGTTTTTCATCAGCAAAATTGTGGACTATGTTATACAAGGAAGACATCCAGTTTAAAAGGGACTTTATAGTCCGAAACACTCTGAAGTGTAGTCTCAATTACTGTAGACCCAAATTTAAACAATTACAATTTCCATCTTACGATTTTATGCACTGATGGCACATTACAGCCATTTTTGCTTTCTGCAAAATTAGGACTGCAAATTTATTCTGAAGATACTATTCCTGTAATTGAGAATTTGAAAATACGATCTTTTTCCTTTGATTCTCACCTTTGGTCAGGCCAAAGTCATGTGAACAAACATCAGGAAAAAGTTCATTCCTAAATGCCTATCTATTTTGGTGAAAAACAATCAAAATAGATTTATAAAAAGAGGCAAAATGAGAGGAAAATCCAACGAAATTGTTTCTATCACAGTGGTGATTATTTACTTTCCCCATGTGAGACATGAAAAAAGAAAGGACCAAACTAACAAGCAAAGAAACACATCACAAATAAATCACTATAAAGAAAATATACACAAATTTAAAATATAACAAACCAAGATATAATACTTTATTCTTCACTGAATAAATGCATTTAAACAATTTGTATAGGCTTCCAGAACTTGGTCCAAAATTAATGCAAAAAGTTATAGCGTCATTAAAACTTGCTACATCAGACTATCAAGAATCTTAACAGTTATTTTCTACCCTGCTACGAAGGTAAGAGTTAATTTTCAGTTAGAAACAAATTAGTAATTTACATTTCCATGTTGATTACTGAATTAGCTTTCATTAAGAATACACTTAAGTTCTAATAATCACTGAACCAGGCTCATTTAATTTTATGTTCATAGACTTAACTAAGCTCGTGTCTCTGACCTAGTCCAACATTTAAAATTCAAATGGAAAAAAGGTTATGTTTCTGCATTGCTTTTCTCTCTTGCTGATTTTATGACCTTCCCATTAATTCATTAGCATAACTCACATCAATGTGTTCCAGCGTAAAATGCACAGGATCAGTCAGGTACACCCGGCTAGACTCCTTGTTGATAGAGGCTGCAATGACGTGGGAGTTGACTGCAATCGTGCTATTCCGCCCAGCAAAGTCACTGCCCAGCTTTATGGTTGCATTTTCAGTGCTGAGAAAACGCCCCAAACTTTTGTAAATGATGAAAACCAGCTTTGCTAATCCTAAAATAGAAAAAAAGTCTCATCATCATGCCACAGAGGTCTACACAAAGACAGCAACCTGTACTCTAATGAACTGACAATAAAGCATCAGTAAACAGAGAAGCAGTTTCAGGCTATGGATTTGAAGAAAAATGCCCAGGTACCCACAATCTTCATGAAAAAAAACACAGAGCAGTTTTGTTTTGATATTTTAACTAGGGTAGGTAATGTAGGTTTTATAAAAGTTAATGGAGTTTCAGTGCTCTGTGCCCAAGACTCACCGTTCCTGCTGTTCTGTTTCACGGTGCTTGCAGAGAGCTGAATCGAGTTGCCTCCTTTACTGCCCTGAGGAAATTTCAAGTCCTGCACCTGGCCCTCAGTAATGAGCACTGCAACATCCAAAACTAAGTAGACCAGAGGGGGGGGAAAAAAAAAGTGGTAAAAATGGAGAATGCAGAGAAAGTCTCTTGGCCAGATTGCAAGATGCCAGATGCAGTATTTCCCCCATCTCTTTATTCAGTTTTCTCACGCTGCTCTCCTCATTTGCCACCATAAGACAGAAGTGTACTGCATGTTTCAAGCACACAGCTGGTTTCTTTAACTGAACCTAGTGCACACTACTAAAATGACAGCATTTTAACAGTGATAACATGACATCAAACCTTGTTTTAATTTCTGCCCCCAAAATATCCACTTAAAAATACTACACACACGTTGCAGAGAAATGTTAATTTTGAAGATCCTAATGTCTATGCAGTATCCTCTGCTAACAAATTTAGAATTTTAAGTAATGATTTACATATAAAGAGGTTTTAAAACAGTCAACAAATGAAAACCTAAGTATACTTACGCTATTTAGCTAAATCAGTATTTGTAACTAAAAAAAAAAAAATACTATTTTTTTTTCTAAATCTAATTCTGTATAAAGGTTTATAGGAAACCATTTTATTGGTTCTGCTAAAAAAATATTTAAATTGAAAACTTAGATGCCACTCTTTTAATTCTATAACACAATGTATATTGGGAAGGTTTCATGGGATTACCATCAAAGGCTGGATTCCCTTGGTTATGTAAAATAATATATGTCAGACTGGTCAATTTGTTGATAAATATCTGCATTATATTAAACTGGTGTAACTATAGGTCTAAACTACAGATTGACAAAAAGTATGAAATTATGGAATGATTTCTTTTTCTCTAAGCCACATGTATGTATGTGCGCTGGGATTTCAGTCTTGCGTGACGTCAGTACTGTGTTACTATGACTTGAAGACAGCTTATCACAAGAAGTGATGTGCAGACAGTCTACTGAGCTCCATGGAACTGTGTACATCCTGAGAGAGATCTTCTGTGATTCTACCCACATTCCTTCAGAAAGAACTGGTGCAGTTACTTGGGTAACAGACTGTAACACTTTTCACAGAATCAGAGAATGGTAAGGGTTGGAAGGGACCTCTGAAGATCATCTGGTCCAACCCCCCTGCCAAGGCAGGGTCACTTAGGGCAGGTTGCACAGGAACGCGTCCAGTGGGGTTTTGAAGGTCTCCAGAGAAGGAGACTCCACAGCCTCTCTGGGCAGCCTGTTCCACTGCTCCGTCACCCTCACAGTAAAGAAGTTTTCCCATCCCTTTCCAGTATCTTTCTACTCAAGTTAAAAACTAGGCAGAATCATCTTCTAGAGTTACAAATATGCAGACACTGAAACGTAAAAAGTCTAATTTCTGCAGTCTATTCCAAGTCTCCATCTCAGTGCCACTCAAATTAGCAGACTTTCAGCTTCCTTCTACCTGAGACTAGATTCATCTCTGTAATAAGAGGAAAGATTTTTAATTTTATGCATAGCAATGATTTTTGCTTTAACACATCCCGTGTACCGATATTTGCACATCTCTAGTACCAAACTCCTTCATTTCTCTTTCACCACTTAGATCCCAAATTATGCTCCAAATATCTTTGCTATTTTGCAGTCTCTGGAGCATAGCTATTCTGCATTATGGGAGATGTAGTTCAGTGAACACATTTTTACCTGAAGGCAGTCATGTTTAATATAAACATTTGGCCTATGTTCTGAGTGCCTAACATATTTAACTGGCAGAGTACATTGCAAAAAAGTAATTTAAATTCATTAGGAACATTATATATAACAGGAAAGCATTTCTGAAGCTCTACAGAAAGCAGTTACCTCAAAAAATCCATATGCTGCCATTTAAGCACTCTTCATATCCATACGTTCTGCTAATGATTTTTCAGTGGTAAATCAACTTTGCAACACTAACTACTTTCCATTTTACACTGTGTTGATGACACTAAAGAATGCTAATTTTGAAGAACTAAACAAGAAAGGCGTGTCTCCCCTGCTTAGGAGCATTTACCTTTCCACCAAAAGCTGCGCAGCTCAGCTTTCAAAGAGTATGTGGCTATCTGGAATATTTTTTCCTGATTTTGCATAAAGCAATGCATAGCACTTTAAATTATGCTTCAAAAGAAATTTACTTACCAATATTTTCCGTGGGCATTGAGACTCTAGTTGGTTCTAAGAGATTATCAGCCAAGACAAAAGCCCCTTCTTCTAGCGTATCGAGTAGCATGGTGGCTGCATGGGCTTGTTCTGAAGAATTCATGTCCTTCCAGGACTCCAGAGCTTCAGGCCTGAGCAGGTTGTCCACTGTATCCACAATTGCCTGCATTCATTAGAAAACTATCATTAGGTCTGATTGCCCTAGGCAGCTAGGGAAAATTTCCAACGTTATCTGGTGACAATTATAATACTTAACTGCCAGAATGATTTACTGTGATTTAATGGCACTAGAAAACTATTTTCAACATAAAACTCTATTTTCGATCCTCTCGCTGGATTCGCATTAATAGAAGTGCAGTTAGCCACTAGCATTGTGTGGTCTCTAAGTGGTAAACATGCAGATTTGACTCGTCTCGTGTCAGATACAAAGACAGTCTTCTTAGTGTGCTGAAAAATCTAAAAATAAATGCCAGAATTTTTGCCTGAAGCTTTCATCTTAAAGTTCATGTCAAAATTTATAACTTCTATTTAAAAATACTAAACGCCAAAATTGGCATTCTGCAGATTAGGCTAATAACAATAATACTCTCTTAGAAACTCAGCCCAACTCATGCAGCCGTAGCACTGCAAACTACTTGTCTATGACAAACTGCCTTCCTTATTGCGGGAGGCACGGAATGACGCTGACTCAGTGGATATAAATTAGCCCGGGCCACTCTCACTCCCCCTCCTGTTCCTGTACCTGTTCATAGATACTTAAAAGGATTACTAACTCCCATTCCTGCACAAAGGTCAGTTAAAAAAGGAAATCAATAGAGCAAACAAGATGTCCACTGACTGTCCCTGTTATCAGCGAAGACAAAACTGTAAAACTGAATGAAGCTGCCATTTTAAAAAGTCTTCCTTGTAACAACTCTGTCATCATGTTTTAAGGTTCATTAAGCTGCATATAAAGTAACAGTAAATAAGGAAGAAGAATTCAGCGACATGATTACATTATTTTTACAAAATAATCCAATCAATCACAGTAATCAGTTAATCAATTGAAGGCAGGCTCTTACATTAATGCATAATGTAGCTGTGCATCGAGTATGCTGTGCATTGAGTACACCATGCATTGCTGAAACACCCTGTTTACTCTGTCCCACTTACCTAGTCATAATGTGTCATTAAGCATATATATAATTTGTTTGATCAATTTAAAAGCATTGGGAATGAAAACAGAACACACTGTACAAACAGAAAGATGTCGGTCTGGAATACTATATTGTGCAAGTAAATGAATAGGAAAAGTTGGTCAAGGCTGTTGTCAGAGCAAGATTAATTAGCTTAATCAATTTTAATATCCTCTTTCTGTCTGCATTGTGAGCCACCATGACCTTCTTGGCAGGTGGAAGATACTTCGAAGTGGCATTAAAGCCTTTTTTCTTTCTCTAATGGGAGACAGAAGAGTCAAAATGCTCACACTGATACTGCTGCAGCCATTAACTAGAGTGGAACAGAAATTGGTCTGCAGAGGCCAGATTCATTAGTCACCAAGAAATACAGATTGGAGCCTCTAATCTGAGGTACAAATGAATCCTCTGTCACAAAGTGGGAACTTGCTTCATTTGCATAGTGTAAGTCAGCTTTTGATTTGTAATTTCAAGAGGTTTATTAGTCTTATCTAAGCAGAGAAGCCCATTTGAGACCTACAGGAAATGACACTGGTCAGAAATTAAGACTGTGCTATGGTTTCTTGTGTATCTCCATATGCACCGTACGCATTCATTAATATGAAATGCTTTTTATTTATTACGGGATAACCTAACTCCGCATTTTTCCTGTCGAAAATGATCACCTGCCCAGTAATATTTCTGAGGCGTTCTTGCCTCTCAGACAGGCGAGCGGCGGTGGGGAGGCCGCGCGGCCCCTGCGACGCAGCTGCCGGAGCAACCCCATTACTGCTCTCCTCACGTGCACGTTTAGTATTGAAAATGAAATATGAAAATTCAGTCCGTTCAAACCGTAGCTCCTGGATTTCCCTTTACTATTAAAAAATATTTTCCAATAAAAAACTATTACAATTATTGAGAAGTTAATTTCTCTCCAGATCTTTCTCTCTTTTTGTCAAATTTCTGCATAACTGGACATCTCCCATCCCCTTCCTGGGCTGAGGAATAAAAGACAGAAACAACCTGTACAGAGAAATGTCTCTTCAGTAAGAGTCTGAATTATTTTATTACGTTGCAAAGTATCTCAAAGTTCTTTTCAAAAATCATTCTTACATTTTGTCTCAGAGGGTACAAGTAAAAATCAGTATTTTAAAAGAAATTTTGGAGAAAAAAAAAAAGTCAATAAAATTTTTCAGAGCCAGACACAATGTGTTCTAGGACTTTTTTCTCTTCTCTTCACAGGCATGAGGTGGCATTACTGGCATTGTACGGCAGAGCAGGAGCTGGCCACTACACACAACCATTCTAGAGCAGATGAAAGAAACTGAAAATTGGGTAGCAATGTGTTACATGCCTTCCATATAGCCTGGTTAAGGAGCCACGTGGCACGCATTTTACTAGCGAAGTTAGAGAAATGTTTGTCTTTACATTTTTATCCTGAAGTCACTGAATCTGGCCTTTGTAACAACTCTTACAACTGTAGGAGAGAGTGATTTTACTAGGTATAAGAATACACAAAGAACAAAGCAGGCTATATAATGTACATTTTTCATGCAAGCAAATTAACTCTAAACAGTCTTTGATATAAAATACTACCAAGCCGATGTAATTTCTGTTAAGTTGCCAGCTTTTTCCTCTACGCAAAGTTGTATTATGAGAGAGATGTTACTTCCAATTCAGATAACCATTTCTGCTCTTTCAGTTTTGAACAAGTTGAGGTAAAAGAGGTATAAACTTTAATCTTTAATTTTTTTTTCTGAATGTTATACCTGTGTAAAGCCAACATTTGTACAGTTGATATGGGGCACAACAGACATTTATCAAAGACTGAAATACATAGGATCATGCAGCAAGATGATAAAGCGTGGCAGGTTGCTGAAGCAGGGAGAAAGCAGGGTGACAGCACAGGAGAGATACCTTAAGGTAAGCCCTGCATGTCTTCTCTCGTTTTTGGAGCTTTTTAGTAAGGAAAAAGAAAATCAGAAGTTAGACACATTCCGGAAAGCTTCAGAAATATAAAAAAATTAGTCTGGTGTTTCAAATCCTGAATTTGAACTATAGCCTGGACATTAAACTAGTTTCTGTCCAGCGATGACTATAAAAAACCCCATCAAATAGGAAATGTATTTCCCCAACCTTTATAGAGGTGCCCAGATATTTTTGCCCAAACTGTGGGATTTGTGTGAAAAGGTTAAAGGAGAAAATCCCTCTTGTGGGCATTTGATCTGTCTCTAGGAAATCTCTTTTTAAGGGCAGCTAGGGATTTTAAATAAAACTATTGCCAAAACAGCAGAGGAGTGCATGGAGATCTCTCTCTAAAGGCGGCTGAAAACCTGTTTTGTTTGTAGCTCGTTGACTAAGCTGGTGCAAGAAAGAGGCCAAGAAATAAAGCATTTCCTCTGTGAAAGAGAGGAATGGTAGTAACACTTGTGATTTGTATTTAAACCACAAAGACATATGTTTTTTCTGAAATGTTTCTCTAAACATCATTACAGAGAAAATACTTATTCCTGTTTTAGATATGCATATTAAGGCATTTTTATAAAGATCAATTATAAGTGATGTTGGCGTCTTTAAAAGGCTAAGAAAGTGCTATTATTCTGCAGGAAGTCAGATTAAAATAAAACCCTGCACCTATGCAGAATCCCACTGATTTTATTACATGTTCAGGGTTAAAAGGATCACTGGATAAACATGCTGACTTGTTACAGAATTTCTGAGAGCTAAAGCCCATTTCCCTCACACGAGCTATAACACATTCCAGATTTTAATAAGGCACACAGCTATGTATTTTAGGACCAGTCAGCTATTGTGAATTATATCTTATTCCCTTAAGAAGGTAATTGCAACTTTCTGCTACGTATTTACTGCTGTTTTCTCTTTCAAGTTTATTCCAGAACTATAAGCACATAGAAACGAAGTATAGATTAATATTTCTGGAAGGGAAAAAGAAAAAGAAAAAGAAAGCCAAGGGCACAAATTAAGCGAGCAAGAGGACATGATGGGAGTTGTGTACCTTGTTATAACTCCGTCCAGCAGAGTCTTTTTCACTGGGTCGTAGTTCCTGCAGCTGAGCATCCAAAATGTCCACGAGCTGCTCCATCAGCCTCACTGATGAACTAACATCGCCAGCAAAGACCGGTCCTTTGGTGTGTTTAGCCAGTTCATTGGCCAGACTAGCAGCATTTTCTCCACTTCTGATCTGAAATGACAATTTGTATTATCTCAGCAGGGTCCCTTGTTCTGCTTGCGGCTCCTAGTTCCAATTCCCGGTGTACCTTTGTTGTGGTGAAATAACCATTTGCACATACATTGAAATCTGCAACTAATTGAGACCAATAACGTTCTCTTTATCTCAGAAGATTAAAGGTTCTTAGATCCGTGACACACAAAAGCTGTTCTTAACAGCCATCAAAACCAGAAATCAGACTGGGACTTTTGGGCTAAATCTTCTATTCATCCTCACTTTTATTTTACTGCCATTATCAGACAGTAAGAAATCTATTTGTTCATACTAGTGCTTGAGGCATTTGAAAGTCAAGTAGCCTGGTACTGACAACAAATTATCCAGTTTTCATAAACTTAGTAAATCTCAGTAGGGAGGGAAAACACAGAAAGTGGCTCTGCACTCTAATCATACTGTTATTAATGCACTCAGACAAAAATCTATTTATTACAGTATAATTTTTCCTGAATCAAAAAACCTTGCTGTATATCATGGTTTTTGCTGCGTGATTTATAATATTTCATTTATTAAGCAAACATAGCTTTTGTTTTTTTGAACACTGGCAAAGTTACTTTGCTTTAAATAGCGATGAAAACATGTAAGCACAGATTCAAGGAAGAACTTAACTTAGAGGGAGAGGGTACCAAAACACACATGTGAACCTAACCGATGGCCAGTGCTTTGCACACACAAGTACACATAACTCCTTCTACTTTAAATGAACAGAGTAATAAAGATGGTTTCAACAAACTGAATTATTAATGCTCAGTTAAAATCCTTCATCACCAGTATACACCAGATTAAAAGGTTTCAACCAACCTTCTGAGCCAGCTGATTTACCCAGTGTGAGGTGCAGTTGCTAAGATCAGGGCCTTTGGGGTTCCACGTTCCCGTTAAGACCACGCAGAGATACGAGGCAGTTCCTACAACATATGTAGAAAACTACAGTGAAATGGAAACCGTTTTTCCACATGCATTCAGGAAATCGGCTGCACTGTGCTCCTAAGTAGTGTTAAATTCTGAATGCCGCTAATGGCAGTAGTTGACAACAATTGACAAAAATGTAAGGAAATAATACAGATTACAAACAGCAATAAAAAAAGTCAGTGAAAAGTACCAGACGTTTTCTGCAAACAAACAAAAAGCCCTTGATTTTTCCTGGAGCTCATCCAGAGGGGAGCTCATAATGAGAAAGGCAGCTGTAAGCATATTTCACAACAGTCCTCAAGCAAAGCCCTAAAATTTGACCCGGATTCTCAAAAGCGCATGCGCAAGGTAATTCTGCGGCTATGCTCAAATGCCGTTTGTGGATTAAAACTTGACCGTTGCCTGTAGATACTGCGTTTTCCAAGTAACAAAAAATCGTGTGACAGACAGTTTGAGATTAAAAAAAATTCACCATGAGAGAGCAGCACATTGCTTTTGAAATGTCTGCTTGAAATCAAGATATATTTTTAAAGGCAATACCTCGTGTTCCTTTGGGGCAAGGGCGTTCAACCATCATTCCTCTTTGTGTCTGAGGCCAGCTAATCCCCCTGGCCTCAGTTGGTTCACAGAATCTCTCTGGCAAAGGGAAAAAACTTGTCACAGGAGGAATTTTGGTTGTGGAAACGGGTGGCGGCAGCTTGGGTCCTCTGCTTCCTTCCTTTGTTCCTCCAGCTAATGTTGTGCTTATGGGACCTTTCTGTGATGTAGTGCTAGTGGTTGACACTGTGGTTTTGTACAGCTCTGCTGAAGAAGTTATTGTCACTGCTGTGGTAGGCACTGCACAGAGAAAATTAGAGTAATAATAAGGTAAATGACTTCAGAATTAGAAAAAAAAAGTTCTTTAAATGTTATTTATGTGGTTTTAAAGGATTCTCTGGTGTCTACTTCCTTTATCTTAACATTACTCTTTTCTTACTGCTACTCTGGGTGCTTAAGATGTAACTTTGACTTTTTTTTTTCCTCACTCCCAGCTCATATGATGTTTCAGCATTCTTCAAATAATCTCTTCCGTAATGAAAATTGATAGTTACATTTCTAATGGCTGAAAGGCAGTACTAGTGAGTTATCAGTACATAACAAACACGCTCAAAGCAATTAAAGTTTACTTAATCACTTTTGCAGAAGGAGTAACTCAATAGACAGAATCATTTGAATCAGCGTGCCGTAAACAATGCAGTCCAGCTTTAACAGCAAAGGCAGTGGCCTGTAACTAACGAGACCATTTTAAAAAAACAGACCCCAAAACTTCAAATCACCCACTACACACCTTCCAGGAAAATAATTACAATAACATCTTCCTACCCGGCAGTCATTCTGCTTGAGAGAGCTGCAGCGTGCCCCATCAGCTCCAAACAGAAGCAGCGTCTAGCACGTACGTGGTGTTCTCGTGTTTCGAGCCTTAACATCCTTTTTTGATAAAGCAGGTATGAAGACACAGCTCGTTCAAGCCAGTGGCAAGTACCTAGTTTAATCTTTCACGAAACACTAGGATCGGCTTAAGCCAAGTCGCTTCTGCCGGGGACTCGCAGCCGCCCGCTCCACTGACCCACGCCAGGAACGCATTGCTGGAGCTGCGGAGGCACAGCCCCAGCTACACCATGGGTTTGAGGCTTTGGAGAGATAATACTAGTTAATGCTAGTGGAGATAACAGTCCGGAATTCCTGTTCATCACCTTCAAATGTATATTGAGCAACGGCCGAAACAATGCAAGTGAGCAACGTAACTGAAACAAGTTATCTTTAATTATTTCCAGATCTTCATTAGTGTTCACAGTGCTTTATAGGCAGATAAAAGGACAGATCCTTGTGGTGAGAATAAACAAGCTCATATCAAATACTTTTTAAACCCTAACTGATACAGAAATAAATGAAGCTAATTTTAGGATTAACTTCAGTGGATAAAGTGGCTTTTTTCTTTCCTTTTTCTTCTTCTGCTAGGCCCCTGAACTCCGACTTACTGGACAATACCTCTTCTCTAAATTAAATCATAAACAAAAAACCAAAAGAAGAGCTGCCTCACTTTCTTTCAGCAGATTTTTTTAAGTTAGTGTTTTGAATAAAATTAATTTTCAGTAGTAGAGCAGATAAAAATTAGTTCAAATTCCTTTTTCAATTGTGTTTCAGTTATTAGGAATCTCAAATATAAATTTCTCTTTTTATTTTCATATAAATTTAGAGTAGAGTTTTTGAACATCAGGATCTGTTCTTAAAGACTAAATGCTAAGACGTGCTCTTCACCCTTCTCTTGCTCACAGACGAGAAACTTCTTCAGAGGTTGTCTTTTCTTCGGTCTCGACCGCTTGAATACAGTCTGTGTAATAGTGCTGAACTCGTGGCGCAGCTGGCTACTCTGAAACCTAATGAAATCCCCGGATCTGTTCTGCAAGTGCTTGCCTCACATCTTGTGAAACTGCTGTAATCTTCTTTTGATTACAACGCATCCAGCTTTCTAGTGCTTTCCCAATTAACTTTGGTCAAAAGCACTTGCAATCACTTGCAGAAGCGTCAGGCAGCGCCTGCTGAATTGGGTCCTGGGGAATGGGGGACTGGGGAGGATGGAGAATGATGCAGGGGACAAGCAATCGTTACTCTCCATCCCCTAACATGTTGTACTAATTAGTACATATTTAATCACTGAAATGTGTATTAGCATTATTGCAATTACTACTTCGAACCTATAATGTTTTGAGTAGCTTTGTCTCAGGAGCAAAATATCACTGTAAGAATTCATAACAACTCTTTTAAGTTCAGTAGTGAGGTAACAATTTTCAGAACACATTTTGTGCTGCACCCTGAGCTAAAATATCCTGCTGTCATTATGCAACTTACTTAGAACAATTTTAAAACTATCCATTACAATCAATTTCAAAGCCTATCACCTATGACTCAAAAATGACCTGCATAACTTGGTAATAGTACATATTTTAGAAATATATTTATTATCTCACATTTTAAGAGAAAGGTTTCAAACCACCCCTCTCACAAAACTGAAAAAACTACAGATCACTTCAAGAGATTTTCTCTTGAAATAAATTTTAAAAAAGAAGTCAGTATATTTAAGAATGTAGCAGGGAAACTTCAGACAGTGCTGGAAGCCTGGGAAAGAAGGTGGTTGAAAAAATAAGAAACAACTGAACACGTCCCTTTAAGGAATACATCTAGCTTTTAGAAGGCAGATCATTTCGTTTTTAATGACCTGTTGGGGAACTTAATCTGCAAGGCCATTCTCCTGAGCTGCAAGAAGACACATGATAGCTGCCACCACCTGATGTGTCTCGTTCCGAAAGCTGAGGGTGATGGCATCCGCCGGCTGCCACACACTGTCTTGTGGAGCGCTTTACCAATGTAGGATAATGGCAGTGATGATTAATATGCCACAACTAAGAACAAAAACAAACTCCATGTTGAGGTTATTAACCTATTGTTCCAAGCAGCAGGGGTGAGCCTGTATGAGGCTGAAGATACGTAATTTTTTTCCGATGCCAAAAAAGCCGCCGTTACAATGTGAGATTCTATTTTGGACTTTTTGACTAGGCTTGACAGGCCGAGGAGAAAACCAAAACCTCTTCTGCCTTCTTCCTTTTTTTTAAGAATAGGTGTGTCTTATTATCAGCTGAAGACAATCTTTGTAAAATTAAAAAAAGAAAAAGGAAAAGAGTGATAGGAAGTAAATACAAAGACTCAAGTTGAGGGTAATTAATTTACATTTGTTTCATGCAGTTCCTAACAGCTGATTTAAACAGTTATGCATACTATCAGTTTCTAAAAATGAAGACACCACTGGAGTAAAACTTAACACCTGTTTAACAGTGTGATGTCTATAAAAAACATAACACAATTGCCTAGGACAGCAGGGGAATACTAACTTTGTTTCCCCAACTGACAGTGAAGAGCAGATTTAGAGAAGGCACACAAGCTATCTAGTATTCTTTGCCAACAGGCTTCTATTCTAAGCAGGCATAAAATACATTTTAAAAAAACCAAACCAAGCAAAACAAAAAAAAATCCCCACTCAAAATACAACTCTGACCTTAAATTTAAAATTGTGTTGGAATGCCCAGATGATGCACCACTTCTGAAACTACCGATGGTTCCATTTTAATCTCTGGCATCCAGGTAATTTTAGAAATCAGCTGCATGGATTTTTCAGTTAAACGTGTGTTTTTATAGGTCAGATATTTCCGTGTATTTGGATACGTGAAAATCTATGTACCTGCTTTCATTTTCAAAAGGTGTCACACATTGAGCTGCTGCAAAGGAGATCAGAAACATGTGCAAATCCAGATTTCCCTGCCTTCTGCTTATTAGCACTATGTGCCTGTTTTCATGCTTCGGTGAATAGCAGGGAAGTCACTAAGAGTTACCTAATTACCTATAGGTTCCAGCTATTATTCCTATTCCAGCTATTGACCCTGCCAAATCCTGTTTAGTTGAAAACAAAATGTTTACCCAGCCATTTATAAATTTATATCCTGAAAATTATAATAAATCTGCTACAAAATTAGCAAAATACCTATGATCAAGAAATGCGCTAGCTGGTCCGCATTATGTTGTCTTTACTTGCACAATCACTCTTTCATCAATCTGTATTGTATCAGATTTGACATAATAGTAAAGATCTAATTTACTTAACAATTTGCTGCATGACTTCGTCATAGATTCTTGGCGTTATAAAGATTTCGTTGCACTAGCTTCCTATTATTTCAAGCCCTTGGTGATAGTACTCTCCGCCTTTCTGTTCTGTCCACACTCACAACATACGTATTTTCCTGCAGTGATCCAATAAAACTTAATGATGGGTATCATGGCACAAAAGGGGAGACAACTTCAGTTTGAACAGTTTGCACGGTTAGCACAAATTGGGATGAGTGTAGATGAAATTTCTCCCTAATGCACTAACACAGAACAAAAGGATTTATCTTTTTGTTACCAAGGAAACCTTACAATGTAATGCTCATATTCACTTTTTAGGGGGGAAATTCCCTTCATTCATCCTGATCTTTTAACTTAAAATACCTTTAAAATTTTCTATTTCAGCAAGGATTCATTTTGTCCCTTGGATATGTCCTTCAGAAAGGATGTAACAGGACATATCTACTAAATTTACCAAGGATATAAAAACTCTGGTTTGTTTCCAATTTTTCAAAATTGCTTTTTGCAGGGCCTGATGTATTTTATTTCTAAATTAAGGGTCTGATTTTTAAATGTAATTTTTACACTGAAGCTTAGAAAATGTGCTCTTTTGCAATATCTGAGTGGTACTTGTCAGCTGTAGTTCTGAAAGCCACTTCTGCATCTGTGCACTATAATTCCCACGAGGAGAGAGAAGAAAAAACAACACATGAAGAATGAGGTTAAGCGGAGGAGTTCTCCTGATTGCCAGGGTAAAACGGTAGCCTGGCTGCAGTATCCGCAGTTTTAGAAATCTGAAGAGTTCTCCTGAAGACTATGAAAATAAGGATATAGGGAACACAACATAGTTGCAAAGGGGAAAATGGTGTCGGTTGGCAGCAAGGGCAAGGTCAACATTAGGTTAATGTGGTGGTTATTTCAGAGGTTTCAACAGGCAGATTTTAGAATGAAAGCAACAAGGCAGAGGAAAAAGGCAGGTTTGGGGTCATGGATGAGTCCCAGATTTTGGACCTAAGAGCAAATGTAAACCCTCAACCTCAAAAGTGTGACTCAAGTGTGACAAATTCATCTTTCATGTAGGAAGACAAGACTGTTGTTTTTCAGCACTCAGTAGTTGGAAGTTTTGGTGTAGACAAGAACCGATAGCCAAGACAAATAGATGGCGGGGGGGAAGGAATCAGCCTGTGTCTATATACCGTTATTGCTCCCACAGCAACAGAAGGAACAGAGATTGCTGCGTTTCCCACAATAGTCCCAAGTCAACCATTCGAACAGAAAAGGCCATGGCTTCCAATTTTGAGGCACTGTCCTTGTGACACCATTAAATACTTGATATTAAAGTACCATTGCAAAAAGAGGCTAAAAGAAGTTTCTTCTGCTAGGTGACTTAAAGCATGTTATCCTAACACTTATGACTTTGAGTAGATGATTAAGAAACCCGAGTCAACCACCAAAAAAACCCCAAAATAAAAGAAACACAAAAAGTGCCCTTCATCAAATGTGCTGAAAATCTGGTCTAATTTCATATGAGAGAAAAAAATTCAAATGTGTATTACACATATAGATCCTTTAACTGTGTAACTGTAACAATAGAAGGATTGATCTTCAGTTTATACAGACTTTATGCTGAAACAAAGAGGAACTGAGACTATAATACAAAAAAATATAGTTAGGAACTGTACAGAATCTCTTCTTGGTTTTATAGCAGAACATCTCAAGGACAATCATATTAGATAACTTTTCCTTTAATTTAGTAGTCTATCTACAGACAAATGGCTTAGGCAAAAGAGGAACTGAAACATATCCTTAGATCTGCTATGTATAGATCCATACAAAACTAAAATATTGGGTATTGGCTTTATATAATGAAAAATAACATTTGTGAATATATGCATCACATTCAAATAAATCTAGTAGCTTTATATGGTATCTATATTCAAAAAAGGCCATAATCAAATATATTGACTGATGTCATAATGCATTTAAAACCCAAACTTGTAAATCACTCAAAAAATATTCCTTCTCTGTCTTCATGGGTGAATGGGCAAAGAGCTCAGATGAGAGGCAAGCACCCTGCAGTGTGCCCTGGACCCCTTCTCGTCTGGGTCTGGTTGGAATAAACCGTGTGAGCCCCTGCCTTGCATGTCAGCGAGGAACCCAGGAACATGAAGGGGTGCTGGTGGATGCTCAAATCTCTGTTATTAGACGGGATGTTGGCAGTACTGTAACTTAGGAACTTGGAGACTCTTTGTAAAACCATTACGAAATGTCTTATTGGAGACCTTTGGTGGTTTACTAAAGCAAAGGAAGGATTCTCCAAAGCCTTTTCTTCTCTCCCCGCTCTTATTTCCCTCAATGCAATGATTTAAAGATTAGCTTTTGCCACATTCATGGCAGCTGCCTGAACTGCAAAAGCTACTTAGAGCCTGCACCTCCATTTTCTCCTCTTTCTATTAAAGCTTTGGAGAATTTAAAATGCATCTTCATCTCAGTTAAACTGAATGAAAAGTGACATGCATGAGAATGTATGAAAATGAAAGCTATAAATTTTTTCTAATTACATAGGTGGTACACTCTCTGCTAAGAGCAGTCCCAAAGCCTCCCTAAGGAATGGACTAGCTTGATGCACAGAGAGCAAAGCTTCCCAGGACAGCTGCCCTTGCGGCCAAAGCTCAGTCCCCAAGCACCTGGAACCTGCCTGAGCCTGGCCATGTATTGCCAGGGAGGTCTGCAGGAGACAGATTGGACAGATCTTCACCTGGCTCCGTACATCAGTACGTTATCAACATTTTCTCATCTCAAATCCAAAACATAGCCTCACACTACCTTCTATGAAGAAAATTAACTCTATCCCAGCTGAAACCAGGACAGGCCATCACTACTGTATTGGCTCTGAACTGTCTTGTTCTGCTGCGTCTTACGTACCTTTGTACCCAGGAAAAGCTGTATGTATATTGATACAGATGCGTGCACACTATGTGGTTTGCCCTGCTGTGCATCAATAAGCTTCACTGGAGCACGACAGCTACTTTTCACATGGAGAAGCCATTATGACTACTTTCCTGAAGTAGAAAAAACGGCTGCTAAACATGCATAACAAATAGGTGAGGCAAGTGACGTATTACCTTCAAGCAGCTTATCAACACTCTATGCCTTGCTGCATACATCATCTGCCATGGAGCATTTCTCTTGGTATTTACTCTCCCCTGCAGATATTAATAGGTGGCTGTGCCTGTTCATGTAATTTTTAGGGATTTCTGAGACCTATAGACCTCCATTTTTCCTTCCTCTTTTGGCAGTTAGTATCTTTCCTTTCAGGTAGTTGTTCTAACTTCAAGGGAGCTGAATTGCCACTGTAATGGACTTGCTGAGAAACCTGCTAAAAAGAGGTCAGATAATCTTGTCTAACCCCGCATTAGAAACTGTGAAAATAGGGCTGCAGAAGAGTATTTGTGCTTGGTATTGCACATTAACTCCATACATGTCCTCTGGGACCTCCCAGCACACATCACTCTCAAGTGTTGGCGCCAAGAAGTTAAAAGGTCTGCGCGTATGTTGTAATCAATTCAGAAGCCGGGTAACGCTGAACGGATGGGAACAGGGTTCTGCCCCTGCCTGAGTGAACTCAAACTTACTTCAGCTATAGAAAGTCAAACTGATTGATGATATAAAGTAAATAAACAATTCCCCAACTCATTCTCAAACATAGAAAAGCTAAACACGTGCATAAAAAAAAAATAGGAAAAGTACAAGCCTGTAAACCAAATAAATTCTCTCTCTTCACAGGTGCTGCAAATTTGCCATGCACCAACGGAACGCTGTACTGTTCAGCACGGCGCAGACGAACAACCCCTTCATGCCTTTATGCTAAGAGCCAAGTCTAAGACCAAAGTTATCATAACATCGTTATCTGAATGGAAGTACAAAGAGATTGAAAATGAGAAAAGCCAAATTCTTACCTTGCGCAGGATCAGGTGGGCCAAACTCCAAAGAGTATCGCAGAATGAAGTTGTTATTCCACACATACAGCTGGTTGTCTCTGGGGTTGTAATCCACTGCGGCGATGTACTGGTACTGGTTGGGGAAAGGAACGTCCACGTGCTCGCCTCTGCTTAACCTGGTGTTGTAGATGTAATCGATGGCGTTCTTGCCAGTCTCGCTCTCGTTGTCCTGATACACCGACCGCACTACGTACAGGACACCACATATCATGAAAGCATTGGATGCTGCCCGTTTGTCGTATGTCGTTTCCCATGTGGCTTCAAAACGCAGGGTGTAGGGGTTCAGTTGGCTAATTACTATCATCCCGTTGTTTTGCTCCGTAGCATAAATTACCCATAAGCCATTTTCATCAACTGCCAAGTCAATATCAGTCTTTCCTCCCCATCGGTATGGAGAAGTGTCATGGTAATTAGCATAATTGATTATGGCCTCTCCACTCTTAATTCTAGTCCTCAAGTCGAATTTTACTATGTTCCTAGTTCTTTCCTTGTTAAAAAAGACAGCACCATCATACACTACAAATCCAGTACCATCCACTCGATTTGGGAGTTTATACGTCGTCTGCTGGCGTCCATTTTGGAAGTCCTCTAAAGAAGCATATTCTATCAAAGTATCGGTGCGATATGGAGTCCATGGCATGAAGTATATTTTATCTGCAGCCTGGAGAGGATCTTTGCACCAAGCACCTGCTTTTTGTTCAGCTTCATATAAATACGGTGAGTCCACAATTGCTTTCAACGTCCCCGGGCAAACAAAAACTAACAGTCACAGAGAGAAGTAAGACAAAAATTACGTCAAATTAAGACTGTCTCATAGTAAAAAGAAATAAAAAAAAAAGAAAAAAAAAAGGTAGGTAAATCATAATGACTGTGTCAGGAAGAAAAAAAATCAATTTAATTGGTACTGGATTATACCTTATGTTATAATTAATGCAATTATCACCCTTTATCATCCACTTTTCTTAAAGTTACCATGTTCTTGCTGTACCAGTATGGAAAGTGGATGGGAACTGTTTTCACTAGTACAGACCAAGGCTCAATGGCATACACAGACAGCTGAAAATGTAGAGCTACTCTTGCATTTTCGTCTTAGACTTTTAGTGAGTACGCATTAACGCTCCAGAGCTTTTAACTGGTGTGCAGCAGTGCGCTAGGTCATTTCAGTCCAAAAAAAAATCACATCAACTTGTTTAGAACTTTAAGAAGTGGTGAGGCTGAAAAAGGAGGTGCCTCGATTAAAAATAAAGGAACAAAACAAATCATCAGGTATATAGAGAAAGCAATTAGGAGCAGAGAAAACAAAACACAACCAAAGCAATGAATGAAACAGACCAGGAAACCCTGTAACCATGGCATGCTATGGAGAGGGTTCTGGAAGCCAGGCAAGATGACACTTGATTAACAAGAATTTACCCAAGGGTGAGAGAAAGAGAGGGAAAGAAAGACAAAGAGAAAGGGAGAGAAAAAAGCAAGGGAGTCTTCCCTCCAACCCAAGTATTTCAGACACTATACCCCGCCACCTACTTTAAGCAGCCAAGTCACTTTATTGCAAACAGTCGACTTCTTTATGAGGTGTACTTATGAGATCCTGCTGATTATCGTAATATAAGAGTGTTGTGGGGAGGGGAAGGGAAGAGGTTAACATCCATAAGGCACATAACAAGGAGCTGGGGTTTGGACTGTATACGTTATTTACCTTTTTGCTCCACTTCTATTTTAAGCATCGGAAGAAAAATAAAAAAGTGCAAGGAAAAAAGAAAGAAGATTAACATAAATTGACTATTAATCTAGAGATTAAATTAGTAACAGACGCTAAATATAGGGAGAATAAGAACTGCACTATATTGGATAAAGAGAAACACAACAGGAAAACCTAGCAGGAGAGAGATTCTACGGTTACACAAGTGAACATGGATCAATCATTTTGGTAGATTAAGGAGGCAATACAGATATGTTGGCATGTAGTTTCACTTAGTGAACCTGAATAAATAATGAATTACTTTACTAAGGCATGCTATACATCTCTTCTTGTTCTCCAAGCATAATGCTATCAAGTTGGTTTTTAAGTGACACATTAATTTATCATATATGTGCGAGTGCACATATACATAGTATAGTAATTAAATAATTATAAATAAAAAATGCAGTATATTAATTATATAGCTTCGTATGTGTGCTTATTAAAACTTTCCCCATCTTTGCCCCAGACAACCCTCTGCTTTTCTTTCTTGTAAAGAAAGCAGCTTGCATCCTTTAGCTCTCCTTAGGCTTAAGTTTGTTTTTTTCCTGAATGTTAATCTTGAGAACTTTTGCCACTTCTTAGTCTAAAACTGCAAAATCAGACTAGAAGGAATAAGCAAAAACATCTAGAAAAAAGAAACAAAAGCACAGTAAGCAAGAGGAAAAGAGAGGAGAAAATTAACATTTAACTCATTCAGATATTCTCCAGCATCATCGATTAAGCCAGAAACCGCAAGCTAGTATGCAAGGACAATTATACTAAGTGTTTAAAACAAATATCCATCCCGCCACCGTACATGGGAAATACAAACCGAACCTGATTAACAAAGTTGTATTACCATAGCAATTTTTCCCCAAGGAAGTTTTAAGGAACATTATCACAGGAAGACATATAGCTGAAGTCCAGCTAGTAAATAGCTTTCCAATAATTATTTGCAATAAAATCTATTTCATATACTCAGCAAGTAGCCTTTGAAGAATGCTCCCTTATTTTTATAAAATGACCTGGAAAATGACGGATGTACCAATCTGTGTAACAGTAGCTGCCGATACCAAGGAAGGGTATCAAAACTATTTGCACAGCCATTACATTTCCAGTATTACAGTATTATCCTGAAGAATGTATTTGTGTGTTTCAGATAAAGTTTTGGATTTTCAGTTTCATTTAACAAAATTACATATGATTATTTTGAGAGAATGGTATTAGCTGAGCTGTTCTAGTGTTTCTTCAGGGAACAATTGCAAAACTTTATGGGGGAGCAAGAGAGGGTTAATATTCTCAAAGCGAGCAGTAGTTTTCCTAGCCTTTGTTCATGTATACATCTTTGGGTAAAATACTTGCTCTTCTGCAATTTGTAATTCTTGAGTCATCTGAGTAAACAGAAGATGTATTCTGAGGTGAATTCCTGGGCTTCACAATCACTCTTAACGACTTTCAAATGATTCTGTTTGTGAACTTTTATGCATGAGTTTATTCCTCGCCAAAGAGCAATATTGATATTGTACCTGCTTAGAATTAGTAATAGGAGAGGGGAAAAAAGATAGGGATAACTAAAATCATTACTGGCATGTCTGCTCTGTGTGCATTGGTGTACAGCTGTACATTTTTCAGGGACAGATGGGCTTATTGAAATAAACAAATGCTGCAAAGTCCAATCAATACAGACAGAGAGAGAATAAAACACTTTAAAATGCTTTCTATTGAATTCCTGAGTCCAAAAAAGGCTTAATATAAAAATGCACAGATGTACAAAATGGTACTTTTGATGTTGTTCTTTATAAAACGGCTGACTTCTGTTATTCAGTTTATACATTGTGCAGCATAATTGAGAGAAATGTCAAGTATGGTACTCTCAATTTCTTTGTAATTTAATCAATAACACTCTTATTTGAGGACAAAGCAATGCCTATCAAATTTGTCTATAATTTTAGTTTTGTTGGAGATCCAACTGAGTATCTCAATAGATTTTTTTTTTTTTTTACTAAAGAGGATTAGAAAAACATAGTCAACAGGTCTACACTTTGAGATGCAAAAAAGGAAGCTTTTCATTAAGTACTTTCTTATGAGGGTGATGAATACAGAACCCAGAGAATGTTCAATCAGTATGTGTAATCAGGAGAGCAGCTATGTATTTCTGGAGGCCAGCAAGACATAGAGGAGCTCATAAACTGCATTTTGTACAAGGGTGACACCAACTCCAGTGTGTAAGAACTGCCAACGTTTACCACAAAACCTGGTATGATTGCTATTTGTAATCTCTCATGGACTGAAAGGTGTCACAGTGACACAGAGCAAATTTTGCAGTCTTGCAGTAACTGAAGATGAAGTTCAGAAAAAGTAAGACCCATAACTGAACTCTGGTTAGAAGTGCTGTGATCAGAAACACCTCCCTTCCTAGACACGCAAAAGCCTATCCCACCTTCCTAACAAGTCTCTTGTGCTGGAACAGCTGATATTTGCAAACCTAATGATTTCAGTCATTCCGTACGTTTAGACATGGAGCACTGGAACACGGGAGAAAAAAATTAGACTGGAGTTGATCAGGCGTCAAAAAAAGAGACTTGGAAAAATACCAGGATAGGCTTTGTGGGACAGGGAGGAAAGATGGTCAACAATCAGAACAGCTAAGGAAGCACAATGTGGTTTGAAATCAAACTTCAAAACTGATTTTGGTAACTGGCAACTTTTCTGATGACTGCTGGTAACAACAGGTGATGCTTCTTACAGTTCTGGAATTGGGCAGTGTCATCACTGTACATGCTGCAGTTAAAAAACTCCAAAACCTACAGACTTTGCAAGACAAGAAGTATCCAGAATCCTGAATTACAATAGACACAGAATTACATAGTTCAAGGGGTGGGCCAATGCAACTGACAGTAAACAAAAACAGAAGTTTTAAAAGTAGAATAACTACACGTTAGAGTACAGGGTAGGCCGCGCTGTGGCACTATACTTCTGAAAACTGGAAAAGAAAAGATTCCTGTAGATAGCAATACCCAATCGGTAGAACATATCCACACTTCTCTTCCTAAAACAGCATAAAAGATTATGTTTGAACATTATTTGCATTACACTTTTTCTCTATGAGCTAGCCTACTGGAACTGGAAACGTAACCTCTTGTCATTTGACTGACCTCATGGTTTGGAATCAGATGCACTGCTCTCTTTCTGAGAATTGGGGAATGAAAATAGTGCTAAAGTAAAAGTGATCTTTGTGGAACAAAACTTTGGTTAGATTGGGGTAAGACATCACTCCTCAGAAGTGACACGAGGAGAACGGTTACAACAAGCCACCAATACTACACACAGGAGGAATGGTACTAGGGATCACTGTATGCAGTACTCTTCCAATCCTACAAATGGTACAGAAAAAAAATCAGCAAGCAACCATTTAACAATGACACAGCAGAAATGAAGAAAAACAGATGATCTGTGTTTGGCCTTTAACAACAGTGAAGGTTCAATGCAGTGAAGCAGTATAGAGTAGCGTTTCAGTTTAAGAAGTCTAGATTTTAAAATTGTGCAGGAAACAGGATGGACAGTTTTGACATAGCTTTGCTTATGCCAGAACTAATTTCCTTCCTTTTTGGATATATACTTTCACCACAGTGTTTTTGCATCTCAGACTTGGCCTGTTTCCTGTACCAACAGAAAATGTGACTTAGGTTAAGGATTACTGAAGATCAAGAAATTCACGCTTAATAGTAACTTAAGGGAATGATCAATGCACTGCTCAAATTCCATTGTAAACACAGGTATTTCTCTGCTGAGTTACAGGATGAGGGAGAAGTCACTGCAAAGAATGACCTTACAAGAAAGCAAAACCAGTTAAAAGTGTTGAATCTGCAGAACTTTTATAAACATACATACATGTCAATGAAAAAAAGCATTAATTACTGTAAGGAAATAAGACGTATGTCTAAAGCTAGTGAACTCTGGCATTAGAAAGAATATTGTACAAAACTGCTAAGTAGCTGCAACTCAGATTTTTCTATCTCAATATGATTTCAGTATTTACCTTGTTTTCCGTAAAAAATTCTGTTTTGGCAGCTGATTCAAGGCACAATTCATATTTTCTCCTTACATTAAAAATGAACATTTCTTTCTTTCTTTTCCCCATTGGGTTTAAGAACCAAGTTTGAGTAACGTATTGATGAATCTCTGAATTCAGATCTTTCAACTCCGAATCTGTGTTCACTTATGATGTGCCCCTGAAGCACAAAGTCCTCTTACAATGTCCCCCAACTGGGGCATTTGCCTCGGAGTGTCAGTGTTGCGTTTTGCTGTGCACCCAAAGTCACCACAACAGCAGGTAGCCTTTCAAGTAGATCATGATTAAAATTGAAGTCAATTCCTGCTTTAGAAGTCTGTGAGCCAAGCCAATTTGTCAGCAACTGGTAGCGGGCAAAAGTACAAATTTCTATCTGGCCTACTGAATAGCTAATTCGAGTTTGTTTTCTGGAAAAACAGTAGCCTTAAAAGCCAAACACTTAAGAACACAGACAGACACTTGGCCAGCATCACACCATGGCTTCCTTCCACACTTCATGAAGCTAATTGGAGGCCCTAGTCTGCAAGTGCTCTGCATGCGTAATGGGTCTGTGGGCCATAAACGTATGCTTCTTTCCATGTAACAGCACTCCAGCTTTAATTGTGAGGGCCAGAGGAAGTGAGCAAGAATAAAAAGATTATACTTACTGTAAGGAACACATTCATACTGAACTTCTAGATATTTGTATGTTCCAGGACAAGGATCAGGAAACACATCTGACCCAGTAACTACTATACACTGTGTTCGGTTGTTGCACCTGTAATGGGAGAAGAAAGCAAGCTAATTAAGTTAAAATTACATTTAATTTGCAAGTTCATACTAAAGTACTACATGTAGTACTAACTCGCTTTACACTTGGACAGCCCAATCCATAAGACAACAAAGTTAATTAATACTAGATCAGTCAAAGTCCGTAAGTAAGGCTTCAGGACAATATTTTAGTTCAGGCTCTATACTTCTAAATTTAGAGACTGATATTTTCTCAAATGTCACTCATTCCCACTGGCAGATACAACTTTCCCAAATAGATATTGATTTGATACTACTATTCAATAAAATCAAAGCAAAATGCAAAGATCATACTAAATGAAAAAATGTGTGATTTTCAATAATGTACAATAACACAAATGACCAATTCCTTCCCTCTTTAGATATATACATACTGCTGAACGGTTTTACATTTTTCTTGTGATACAAGGAAGTTATGACTTTGGTTGGAAGAGTTATTGCAGACAAAAGCATTAGCATTTCCATTTTAATTATTTTAGGAGCAATTGGTGGACTCTAAGCTTCCTCTGTTAGGTTACAGGAAGAGGTAAAGGATGACTGTCTGAGGAAATAAGAAAAACAGTTAAAAAGAAGAACTGCAAGAAAATTAATTAAAATGTATTTTAGAGGAGACTAAATACTGAGACATATATATGATTTGCTTAACAATAGAAGCCAGTGCATTTTGATACAAAGAACAACTTCATTACAATGCCTCTAACTATGGGGGTCTACTGAATGTAATGGGTTTTGAAGTTTTTTTAACAATAATAATCAGAGATTTTAGACTATTATTCATTTTTCCATTAAAAAAAAATTAGCTTGAAAGTTAAAAATACAGAAACAATCACCTAACCCTGAAGAGATGATCAAAATGTAATACAGAAAAAATAGTCAGAAGGAAGTAGAAGGAAAAAAAAGAGAAGGTCAGGGAGTTTGGTGACTAAATGAAAAAGAGCTTGGCTGATCTTCTCAGGGGTTAGTTTTGTTTGTCAGCAAACCGAGTAACAGAAGTCTGAACTTAACTAATAGCCTAGCCTTTGACTCCAGCTGTACATCAACTTCTCTATTGCCCTACTACTTCCCACACTCCCTGAATACCACAATCCAAACTAAAATAATCTGTCTTGTATCAATGGCTTTCCACAGCTGTACATTGCCAACAGGTATAAGAATAATTCACGCTACCTCATAAAAGGTAGAGCAAGCACATTTGAAGAACTCTTGATATAAATCACTTTCTTTTTTACATACTAATCAAACTAGCACAGAGCTGGTCAGGACATACTGTGCCTCTTGCTGAGCAAACTTGGGAATAACAACTCTTCTGACTTTATCAGTTAATTCCTCTTTTTCCTTTTTTTTTTTTTTTTTTAAGCTACTTATTTCTAGCCTCATAAGGCTTACAGTTGCAGAACTAATTGGAAATAGCCAGGGATTTCCGTGTATATACGCAACCATGGATTCAGGTAGATGGTGAGGTATTCACCTGTCACCTCTGTGCTGCTTGTGGCAGTGACTTTCCAGCGAGCACAGGCAGGCCCCCGGCACAGCTATCGCACGGGCAACTGCTCGTGCGGTGTATTAGAGAGCCTGGAAGGAGTATGACGCACCCAACGGCTTCCAGACCCATACTGAAGCGATGAAACATGCACCCAACTTGCAGAGAAAATCACTGTACTGAATCTGTAATACTGAAAATGTACAGTACAGCCACGTTTTTGTACTCACATGAAGGTCAAAATGCTGCTCTTGTGTGTGCTGTGTAGGAGGAGAAGGTAATATGGCACAAAACCTCAAAGATATCTCTGTTCCAAGCCCCGTACAGGGTTTTTTGTGCCCCACACCTCAGGCCAGACTAATCAGCATGAGAAAACCTCAGATGCAAGACTTGTAATTAATTTCTTTAAATTTCTTTCTGTTTCTTCAGTGAAAACCTTATGCTGAAGCTAAAGTAATTCCTACAAGAAGACTTTGTGTTGTGCATTATTCAGTGTAATTGTTTCCACAGCTTTGAGCTGTATGAAAGTTTCATTTTACACTTGAATGAGTGGCAATTAAGGGAGAAATATTGATTTGTTACAAAATAAAATGGATACATATTGGGAGAAATTGCTTGAGAATGAAACTGATGAAGGTCATATTTAGCTGCAGAAAAAAAAAAAAATACTAGCAGTATTTGTAAATCTTACGAAAAAGGTGGGACTCCCTTCTCCCTGTAAAAAGTTTTCTTCTCTTTAATTTTCCCCCAGTGAAAGACTCATAATGTTGCTGACAGTCAGGAAACTGAGAAGAACTTCATACTAGCTTGTATCAAAAGGATGTGTAATAGTAATTCCGAAGAAAATGCAGTATTTTTTTTCCTTGTACAGTAAGGGCCAGTATCAAACCTCAGGCACTGAGTGGCATGCACCGCAAGCTGTTGACCTTCCATAAACCTTTGACTATTTCTTTATGCAAGACTTCACCTGCTGTGCATACGGTCACCTTTTGCTCACCTGTGGCCAAAAATGAAGGAGACCCCAATTCCATAACCATGAGCTATGCCCACTGCTGCAGTACACAGCAGTGCTACAAAGCACACCACCACCACCTCCCCAAAAAGCGCAATTACTCGCATAACTGAATCAATAGAACTGTTTGTGCTTCAAGTTGTAGCTTTTTAGATTCCCATTACTGATTTTGCTGCATTGCTGGTTGCATTTTATAAAACATGAGTAATTTCAGATAAGGTTCTAATTTACATGCACTTCTAAGATTTCAAATTAAAGACACTTGATTAAGATATTCACATATAAAAAATGGAAATTTCAGGTAACTATCTGTCACATAGTTAGTGGTCAAATTTCAATTCCAGTGAAACCTTCACAAAAACTCAACAGCAACTACAGCAGCTGTCAATCCCAATTCATGGGTTACGGAAGAGAGGAGTAAGTGGACTTTGTAGAGGTCGTTCTGAGACAAGCAATTCAAGGAATTTACACTACTGTAATTTGTTCTCTGGATAAATGAAAGTCTTCTGTCTGCTGCGTTGCTTTTTTCCCCCGTAAAACCAGGGATACTAACTTCTTTATTAGTTACTGGCCTACGGTTCTGCTGCTGCCTGCAAAGACCATTTCACAAACTGATAAAGGTTTCAGTTGAGCTTCTTTTAAGACAAGAAACACTGAATTCTGTCTGGTATTTTGGACAAAAGATACTCCACTCTCCATAAAATAGCACTCAACAGCAGATTATCCTACATGGCTACAGACTGTCAAAGCTACCGCATCACTGCCATAGCTAAGCTTCATTACTTTGAGAAACCTTTATGCTCAGGAACACTATGCCCAATGAGGAGTATATTGCACCGTTACAGCCTTCAACTCAATCCTGTGACCCATTTTCAGTCCTTTTTGTAATGGCCAAGCCCCTTCTGAGTGCGGCCACTTAATGGGATTCTCTAAAACAAAACTATAGTGGAAATGAAGTTCCTGACAATTTGCAAAATTGGCCTAGACACCATCAGAAAAAAAAAAAAAAAAAAAATCCAAACCCCAGAAACCTCAACTGGCAAATAACCTGAAGTCCTTCACTCATTTTAACCAACCTTGTTTTTTCTACACAATATACTGTTAGTTCGGTCCATTTATTCAAACTCTTTCAGAACCGTTCTATCTAAAGGCATGATACAAACCAGGTCTAGTTTCTACAAATTTAAGTAGTCAAGTCACAAACACTTCAGTGTTTCAGTGTCTATAATCTAGTGTTTAAGTTTTCTGTAGGTTTTAAGTACCGTTTAAGTGTTCTGTAATCTAGTGAGCCACATACTTCCCTATCATGTGTTAAAATATGCAAATTCTCAGGTTTTTATGTACAATCTTAAAATTCGTATGATCTCACACCAAGAAATGTCTTGACGCTTAAGACATTCACAATATTCGCAAAAATTTATGATACAATGACTTAATCATTTACAAGGAAATAAAGCAGATCTGCAGAGAACTCGATACAAACTCAATAAGAGTTGATTTAGGAAACTAACATATGAATTAAATTTGAAACTCTAGTTAGGAAAAGACTAACTGTAGCACGGAAGAGATGATAATTCAGGTTCCTGTGCTAGCAGCATCAAGAGTTTTGCAAGGGGAAATGTAGGAACTGTCACTATTCTCATAAATGCAAGGAGCAATTGTGTACTCTTAACACTCATTTCTTCAGTATTTATATGAAGAAATGAAGAGAGGTTACATTTTCATAATGCAGATGCATCACTTAGAGTAATCTGAAAATCAAATGGAGTGTTTAATTAACAGTTATAGTACAACGTCTGAACTCCTTTCACCTCGGGAGGAAGACTGTGCAAATGAGGAATGGCTCTTTCGCATTTCAGAAGAATACAGGAAAAAAAGGAAAGTAAAGCAGCTCCAGCAGGACTGTTAGCAAGCATCTTCTGCTCATGATGTAGCCATGTCCCTGCTGCATCCATCCCCTTCTGCTGCTCAGCTTTAAGGACAGCTGTACTTTCTATGATAATTTGTTTGCATTTCAACTCTAATCTTGACTCGTACAATTCTCAACAAATTGCTTTAGCTCTTTTTTTATTATCTTATGCTCATTATTGCACTTTTCCACATGCAATGTATGGAGATGAGATTCCATGTGCAATCTATTGTGTGAGGTGTTTTAATCAATAATCTTGTTCTGCTGATTAAGCAGGGGCTTCTGTTTTGGCAAGATAACATTAGTTTCTCCTGTCATGCTCCAAAAGCTATTGGGAATCTTCAGCAGATCATTAGATATGCTACAATAAAGCTTTGGTACATTCTCTTTTCTTTCTTAAATTACTTCTTCACTGTCCTATCATTCCCCGTCACCGCTGGCACTGCATTATTATTACAGCTCCCCTGAAACTTGCACTAGAGCTATGTCTCCAGGCCACAGGATGCCATTTTCAATTGAAGCGTCTGCTTGAAAATATAAATTAAGAAAATTTCATTATCTCCTGCC